TCTTTCTTTCTTTCTTTCTTTCTTTCTTTCTTTCTTTCTTTCTTTCTTTCTTCCTTCCTTCCTTCCTTCCTTCCTTCCTTCCTTCCTTCCTTCCCTCCCTCCCTCCCTCCCTCCCTCCCTCCCTGCCTCTTTCTCCTGTTTATCTTACTATGTTTTCTTGCTTTTTGTGCTTGTACTATTATGCCCACACTTTACTACCTTCTGACTTTGAATATTTCTTTTTCTCCTCTGTAAAGCGAGTATAATATAGAGCCAGCACCAACACTGAGCCGCTGTTGATCATTTGCTCTGGCACTCTTGGAGAACGGTGCTGTTCAGATGCACGTTGAGACGACCAACTCAACTTGCTGGTGTCTGAGACAACTGGCCAGGAAACATTTGTAGTCCCAAGTACCGCCCAGATGTTCAAAGATCCAAGGCAGCCAGTATTTCACAGACTTAAACACATAGTTTGGGAGCCTCTAGAGTAGATAACAGGTACCACTTCATTTCTCCTCTTTCCATTGCATGCCAGCCATTCTGCTCCTCCATAGCCTGGAAACCAAGGACCCAATGTCTTTCTTGCCACCCTCACTTTTTAAAGCAAAGCTCTGTCGATCTTGGATCATCTAGGGGAGAAAGATGACACATGGAGAGACGGGTGGGGACAAGAATGAGGACTGGGATAGGTGAAGCAGTAGTCTTTCTTTGTCAGTTTGCTCTGATCCACCGAGTTTTAGTTAAGGAAAGATGAACTATATAATTGAACTCAGTCATCACGATTAACAATATGTGTGTCTGATCAATATATTATGGACTTATTCTGCTTAATAGTCTATGGAAGTTCTTTGTGTCTGTTGTGGTAGCATTCATTATTTATTATTATTGTTGTTTTCATTGTCATTATTATTTCATGTAGTTCTCAAGAGCACCTGAAATGGTCCTGTCACCTCTATGCTATGTATGAGAAAATCAGGCTAAGAGGGGTTATTCTCAAAGCCTTTTTCTCTGCCAGTACATACAACTGGGATGTGGTGACAGACTGGAACCCAAAGTTTCCAGACACCATCTCTTTAGAGAGCGCATAATCATATTGAGCACCTGCTCTGTGCCAGTGTTGCAGTAAGAACTGGGCATGCAGGACCAGGCACCAAGACATAAGCCTTTAAACTCAGCACTGGAGAGGGTGAGACAGGCAGAGCTGTATGAGTTCAAGGATAACCTGGTCTACATAGTGAATTCCAGGATATCCAAGGCTATACAGTGAGATCCTGTCTCAAAGCGAGCAAGCAAGCAAAAACAAAAGAAAGTTAAAACAAACAATAAAAGAAGTAGTCATGAAAAATGAATAAGACAAGGCTATCACTGCCCTTGAACTCTTTGTAATCTGAACCATAAGGAATGTTGAAGAAAAGCTGTCTTACTCAGTGCCTAGCAGGAAGACAAAGGATATTGAAATGTTCAGTGGTCATTAAAGTCAGCAGCCTTCCTGAATTACTTACCAGGAAGGTTTTCATCCATCCCACATGCTGTGATCGTCACTTTAGACACGAGAAAGCTGAGCATTGCTGAGCTTATATTGCTTAGCAGAGTGGCTGTCCAAGGCAAGTGGGAAACCCTGGATTTGAACTCTCACATTTCTGTACACTTACCACTTCATCATGAATAAGCACTGGTTATGAGAGCAGCTCTGGTTATGAGAGCCTAGTCCATTCCTCGGGAGGATAGCATTCCTAGGGAGGATTTTCTGTGTATCACTAAGGTTTACAGAGGCAGTGGGAAGGAAGGGGTACCTGCCACCCACACATAGAGTGAAGGGGTGTTACAAGAGGCATTTGGCTGGTGGGGGCTTGTTGATCTTTGCTGCAGAGTTAATCTTCATGTCTGTACACTGCTGCATTTTCCTCTTGGTAATAAGTTGAATGTTGTCCTCCCATGCCCTTCTCCGGGAGCTTCTCCAATGTAGTAGATGGGTAGAGATCTAGACTTCATATGTGCATGTGACTCATCATCTCCAGCCAGAGTTTTCCACTTTACAAGCCTCTATCTTGAGTTATTTGGTACTAATTGGATCATTGGTCTCCAGTTTCTCAAGCTGATCCTGGAACAGCCCGCCCAGGTGGGAACCTGGTGGAGTCAGTCTCGGTGGTGGGATTCCCTCCAGTCTACAGCATAGCCTTCTGGTTGGCAGGCTGTGGTTCAGAGCTTCCTCTCATCACTGCATGGTAAGGAAGTGGTTTTCCTACACGGATGTCCTCAGTATTCACAGCTGGCTACGGTGCACACAGGTGCAGCTTTGATGGAGGTGGGGAAACTCCCTACTGTACTGTTTAGAGCTATGGTCTTTTCTCAAGTGTGATACATCAGACTCAGATAGAGGTTTGGTATAGAGACAGCTGGGCCATGGTAGTTTGGGGTCTGAAAATTTTCATTTTCAATGATCTAATGGTGCTGTCTCAGCCGAGAGCTGCATTTAGGAGCCTATTTCTATTAAATTTGTTTTTAGATGGTTTGTTATGTTTCTCAGAGTAAACACTGTTTTCTATTTATTCCCCTAATTGCAGTCCTGGAATATTGATCTTGTTGGAATTCCTTCAGTTTAAGGAAAAAAAAAAAAAAAAAACCCAGGCATTTCTAAGAACTCACCAGCAGATGGCACTAGAGCATCACAAGCGTGGCTACATAGTTGTGACTTATTTCTAAGGGTAGTTTACAAAGCAGAGACTATAAGATAGATCAGCCTCCTTGAGGTCCGGGGACCACATGTATGTTACCCTTTTAAATTTCACTTAAGCTTGGCAGGATCAACAGAACTGAAATGCTCTGTCTTGTATGTGCACTGCATATACACGTATGTGTATACATATACGTCATATACACACACGTACAGAATAGTGCCGTATTGGATGGCTCTCAGCTATTAACTATGAGATGGTAAAAGCTAGTTTGAGTTACTGTGTACAGGTTACACTCAGAGGGCTCCTGATGACCTTCCTCTCTGTCTTTACCTCAAGTACCCGGGCTCCTCTGGAAGCCTGTGACCACGCTGGAAAAGAGGACGGGTCTGTCTGGAACACGCCTTTCAAAGAACACCAATCCCATTCATAATCTAAAGACCTCCTCAAAGGTTTAACGTCCTAAAGCCATGCCCTTGGGACTCGGATTTCAACAAGTGACTTCTGTGTTTGTGAGGGGACACAACTAGCCAGCTCATGGCAGCGATTGGACAGTTTACAACCCCAGTTCATGCCACAGTTATTTGGATCATTTGTTTATCAAAAGCAGGGCTGTGCTGGCACTGGGTTTATATATATAAGAAGTTAGTGAAGTAGGGTAGATGCTCCAGCAGGAGGTGCTGGGGAGACACTGAGAGACCAGGGCACATTGATTTGGAGTATGCAAATGAGGCTCTAGAGGGCCATGTCTTCTTTGAACCAGGGGTGGCAGGTGGGTGGCAGAATTGCTCATTGCTCTGAACGCTTATGTTCATAGGATCAATGTTGGTAGCATGTTCTTAAGGAGCCTTCTGTTTATACCACACTGTTCCTGCTGTGGTGGGAAAAGGGCATCCACTAGTTGAGAGATGGAACTCAAAGCATAGAAGCATGGGAGTAAAGCAGTCTTTGTAAAGAGCTGGGTTTTGCCGGCATCACACATCCTAAGGACTGTGGTGGCTAACACTTTGCTTTTGATGTGTTGCAGCTATGTGCCCGCTGAGGGGACAGGAGAAGGATCTGAACTGATTGAGGTGACAGCGCAGAGACTCCAGAGGACAAGCCCACCTTTAGGAGGACACTTCTTCCTCCAACTCTTTGATACAGTGATACTCGGTAAGAGGCAATCAGGGTGTGCCATAAAATAGTCCCACACTAGTTCAGAATTATGAACGATAAAGGGTTATTTATTTAGGTGTGACTTACAGAAAACTGTCCTAGTTAACAGTTCTCTGGACAAACAGGGAACAGAAACAGAGTCTAGCAGCCGGAAGCGAGAGCCAGAAGCAAGAGAGCGAACACACGCTTTATAGTTTCATTTATAGTATAAGAGACCACGCCCAAGTGGGCTGTTATGGTAAAGGCTATTGGCTGAAGGGGTGGAAGGAGCTACCACAGCACCATATCTTAAATGCTATTGGCTGAAGGAGGGGAATGTGCTTCCACAGCAAGGGTACAATGATTCTCATGTCCATGCTGGGGATACATAAGGTAAACATCAGACTGTGAGTTCCACAGTTAGGGTGACAGGTCTGAAATGGCTGTTTTAAGATTAAAGACCTAAGAAGGGATGGATTGTTCAATCCCAGCCTTTTCATTTTGTAGATAAGGAAAGTGAATGAATTGGCTTCCTGAGGCTGTGGTAATGAATTATCACAAACTTGGAGACTTAGAGCTATGAGTTTTTTTTTTCCTTTGTTCTGGAGCCTGAAGTCACACATGAAGGTGGTGTGAGTAGGGCCCCAACTGTTCCTGCTCTAGGGGATGTGTTGGTTGTCCTCTTTAGCCCCGGCTGATGCTGCCAATCCTCAAGTGAAGCCGCGATGCTTTAACCTGTGCCCGTGGTCATGGCCTATTTTTCCTTTGTCGCAAAACTTCCTCTGCCTTGGTCTTGAAGGAGCCACAAGAATTTACTGTACAATTCATGATAAACTCTTCCACTCACATCCTTAACTTGACCATCTCTTCTGTCACGTGAGATAACATTTATTCTTTGGCCTTGCAAAGGGTTAAGAGGACATTGTCACATCTCTTTTTTCTTGTGGGGGTTGGGATTCAGCCAGCCACACTGAAGCTTCCCTGAAGTTCTCAAAATAATCGATGAAAGGGTCTAGATGTGAACCTGGGTATTTTAGGTTCAAATTCATCTTCTCTCTGAAATTTCCTAGGCCAACGCCACTTGTACCCGTGTCTTCAGAGTTAAATGTAGTGGCAGTTATTTTGCTATTGAGGATTTTAGCAGTCACCCAAGTTTGAGATTACAGACACAATTAGCACAGTGCTTTAAGAGCTTCAATAATATAGACTTTTAACAAAGCACAGAATATGAGAAGAGATAACAATACTGTTCAATAATGTTATTGATAAATACTGGCAGAAATGCGGGGCTTTAAAAGGGAGGCTCCGAGATCTTCAGGAAAGCTGTATGAGTAGGTGATACATGCTTCTCAAATCTTTTTTTTCTGAGAAAGGCTCTTCCTGGCTGAGAGGCACATGGGGTGTTATGACTATAATGGGACAACGTAGAAAAAGCTGAAGACACCTTGGTTATTGGGGTCTGGTAAATGGGCCAGTGTCCACAGTGTATTTGTCTTATGGCATGAACCACCACCAGACTATGCTTCTCACAAATGAGAGATTATCTACAGAGGTACTTCCTTCTATCAGATACAACCTGATACTTGTCACATTACTGCCGGCAGAGTCACCGAGGAAAGCCAGCCTTAGCCCAACTTTTTGAACTGAGCACAGACCCCCCAATTATGTGCAAATGTAGAGCACTGCTTTTTAATCACGGAATCATTGTTGGCTTTGTGGAAACATAGTGGCACTTTATTAACCCTTCAGGGCAGCTTGGCATTCAAGAGGAAGGCTCTGGAGCAGGTGGACGACAGCCTGAATTTTAATCTAAACCTGCCTCCCTAGCTTGGCAAGCTTTTGAATACCATTAGGGTTCATTTTCTTCATCCCTCAGGTAGGCACAGAGGTGCCCCAATGGCCCACCTCATGGTGCTGTTGGGGCCAGCTAATGAAATGGAAACTTTGGGTAAAGTGTGAAGCACAGAGATTTGTTATTTCTCAGTGGGGATGCAGAGCGGGGAAGCAGGTGGCTGGGCTTAGAGGAGATTCTAATAGAGAGAGCAAAGAGAAGTGCCAACATTCCTCACCTGTGTTGGCTACGTTTTATGGATGTCAGCTGCTGTATGCCGCCCCTACTCCCTGTGAAAGGTGGCCAAAATTTCTCTGTTCACAGGACCAGCTAAAATTTTCCAAGAAAAGTCAACATTTAATTAGACTTTCAGTCATCACAAAGGTGTCTGGAGCGTGTGTGTTCAGTTGATAGCCGAGACCGTCTTGTCTGACATAGCACGGTCACTGTTTGCCATGCGCTTTAACTCTGAAGGAAGCGTCTAAATGTAAAAAATGGGCGTCTACTTCTGGGGGAAAATCATGATCTTATGTCGGGTAAAGGTGCTCTTGTGCTGTATTTTGATTCTGAAACTCTCCTGCAAGTTTAGGGTGATCCTGGTGTTTATTTTCTTTTATCCTTGTCGTTGACACCCACAGCAAGGATTCACTGATATCTTGTTTTCTGTAAACTCTTGGCTCACAGATGTTTCAGTGCGCATGTCTTCCAGACAGCTTCACAAGCTATTGCAGGACAATGCTGACGTGTCCACATCTGGATACCTCAATGTCAGCGACATCACTGTGACGAAGGAGCTAAACTCGTGCTATGAACATGTGTGGACTCTTTCTTGGACTACTCAGATCGGGGATTTGCCCAATTCTATCAGTGTAGGTATAACCAAACTTTTTTTGTGGTATAGATTTGGTGGAGAAATTTTGTAAAGAAATAAAGAATTATGTGAATAAAAAATGGATATAGATTATTATTGTTACTTGTTGCCATATTCTAGCAAAGGGGCTCTATATTCTTTATCAGAAAGTTTCAACCTGGATTTTCCATCTCAGATATCATCTTATTAAACCCAGTGTTCCCTTTCCTAATTTAGGGCAGGGAGAGGAGCTGCTGGTCAGTGTCCACCACATAGTTTTCCACGTCTGTTTGTGGATAATTCAAACAGATGTGATCGACTCGATCATCATGAGGCAGACGACATGGCAGGAGGGAATTTAGCAAAGGACTTTCTGTCTTTGAGTAATGACAAAAGCAGATGCTCTTGCATATGTAACGCTTTAAAAAATAATCGAAGGATCATCTAGCACCTGCTTATTATAAAATGAAGCCCGAGATGAAATTTTATCCACGCTTAGTGGCACTGTCAGACAAGTGGTTTCGCAAGTGAAATCCTGGAGTGAGATGGAAGAATGATAATGTTTGTGCGGATCTCAAAGCACTGTTTCCTTACATTTACATTTTAATATTATTTATATTACATTTTAATATTTAGATTACATAGAAGCAAAGTATCTCAAGACTTAACATTATTATTATTATTATTATTTGAGTGTGTCTGCTTCTGCTTGACAAGTCCTCTCACAAGCAGATATCCCGTGTTTTACTGCACCTTTTATTAGTCACTTTTTATTTATTTTAAATATTAAGTTTAATGTTTTTTAGGATTAAATTTTTTGGGGGGTTTATTCAAGATAATGTTTCTCTGTGTAACAGCCCTAGGTGTCCTGAAACTAACTCATGGACTAAAATTCTTTATCAATTTCAGCTATGAGAGTATTTCAAACAGAATGTGGAATAAAAACTCATTTGTTTCCCTCAAGATGAGATTTCTTTTCCATGATAGAATTGATCAAAAATGTAACTATCTCAGGTCTCAGATAAAAATCTCACTGGAGTGAATCCTGCTGTAACTGCTCGTGTGGTGTATGATGGTGGAGTTTTCCTTGGGCCCATCTTTGGAGACATGTTGGCTACTGCCAACCAGCAAACTCAGGTGAGAGTGTTTCAAGTTCTTCACTTGTTTGCAGTGAAGGCCAACTGGTTCAACTTCCGTGGCTCATTTTTTTTTCTTTTGGATTGCTTCCACAGTGTTTCCAAAGTACTATGAAAACGTAATTGCTTTGCAAGCAGTCATGGTCTTTATAAATATTGATGCTATTATTGTGGTACAAAAAACAGAGGACCCATACAAGTAAATACATATAGCTAATTATTAAGTATCCAAACTGAAAATGGTTAAATATAATTATTATTTTTTAAAAGATTTATTATCATTATTATTTATTGTTGTTGTTGTTGTGTATGTATGATGTGTGTGCAGGTTGGGGTAGGAGAGCATATGGCTGGGCATGCACATGGGGGCCAGAGGATAACTTTATGGAGTTGGTTTTTTCCTTTCATTTTACATGGGTTGGGATTCAACTCAGGTCATCAGGATTGGGTGACAAGCATCTTTACCAGTTGAGCCATCTTGCTGGTCCTGATTAATATTTTTATCTTTTGAAAATAAATCATTACAAATAAAACTGAACGAACGGCTCTTTGTCACCCATGCCATTCAAGTATGCTTTTCCTCTTAAAGAGAACTTAAATAACGTGGATGAGCAGCTAGCCCATTTTTAAAATCCTACAGAATTGATCAAGTTGTGTCTTTTATCCCCTCCCCCAATTTTAAACATTATTTGAGGTAGCATTCAAACTGAGTTCGCATTCATTTGGTTCCACTGGAAAGGAGAGCTATGGAATCTGAACTTACCATCTAGGACAAAAACAACTTCAGACCAAATGTAGAAATACACTTTGGTCTGCAGTGAAGGCAGAAGGACAAAGCCTAATAGTTTGTCCTAGTGGGGATAAAGGTAGTTTTCATGATGTGCGGGCCTGGGGATAAAAAGTCCTTGTGTATCCAAGTTTATGAGTTTACTTCCAGATGAAAGAGGACATGTTTTAAAAACAATTTATCATATTCAGTCATGTACAATGTAGGTGTCGGGAAGAGTTACAGAGCCTCGGAGTTCAAGGTTAGACTGGAAACCTCAGAAAGGACATTATTTCAGAAAACCATGTTTTAACCATATTTATTTGCACAAATGGATCTCAGCATTTCCCCAACTTTGAGAAAATTTAATATGTTTTGAGCCATTCATTTTTGTATAAGAACACTCATTGATAAAATTGAAGAGAGGAAATGAGAATGTATGAATCATAAAGACATTTTAATTTAGGAAATGCTCACAAATACTTTATGACTGCCCTTGTGTTCCTCAAGTCCATACATTTGCTGTTAATTCTCTCACCTCCCTCCCCCAGGTAGCTGTGCAAGTGAATGACGTTCCAGCCCATTGTTCAGGCTCCTGCTCTTTCCAGTACCTGCAAGAGTCAACTCCCAGTGTGGATTATGTGTCGTATTCCCCTGGTATGCTTGAGATATGAATCTTAGAATCAGTGATTTTTAGTAGAGGCCGTGTAGAGGGTAGGAGCATCAGCATTTTCAGAAGATGTGGATGCAATAGAAGGTGCATGTTTGGTCCATTAAGGGACGTCATCTCTTATTTAAATATATGTGTGTGATTATTATTAATCTTCATTTTGAACTTCCTTTATATTATTATTGGATGATTCATTTGTATGAAGTTATGGCATTTTATTGCTAGTCTGAGAAAGTTGAAGGTGGGAACTCTATACAGAATTATGAATGCAGTTGTCTTAGTCTTCAGTCCACTCCTCCATTTTGGGGAGAGGAAGCTGAAAGAGAACAAGCATCTGGTGTTGGACTGAGAGCTCTTGAATGGAGTGTCAGCACTGATTTGATGTTTGAATCCCCCGTCCCCTCTTTTAGGATGTGACATCAACCTCCTGGTTTATTTCACTGGAACTGGTTTCCCTAGAGATGCCCAGTCCTTGCAGGTTACAGTGAACCAAACAAGATGTGAAGTTATTTTCTCAAATGAAACAAATGTGGTCTGTGAGCTGGACCTGCTACCAGTCGGAGTGCATCAGATTTTGATGCTGGTGAGACCTTCAGGCCTTGCTGTTAATGCCAGTGGAGAAGGCCTCTTGCTGTATGTGGAACCCAGGCTGGATGCTGTGGAGCCTGCTGCAGTTGCAGAGATAGGTAATGTGGGTGGGCATCCATTGTGTACCTGTTCTCTGAAGTGACAGTTCTTGTTCATATGCGCAAATCTTGGCCCAAAGCATGATATATTCTATATGTATTGAGATTTGCAGCTTTTTGTTTCCTACACATTTCCTCAAGTAAAGACATTTTTAAGCTCTGAAATGAACTTGCTTGGCACATTAAGAAGAGAATTTGGCTGATGGTGCGACACGCTAGACCATGGAGTCACTTGGATGGTCATTCACCTGAAAAACTCCAAGACTATAAATGAGATATTGTTAGTTCTAGGGAAAATGTGACTTGCCTGAGGCTTCATAGGGAAAGGGTGGAGCCAAGGCACAAAACAGAGTGCTGGGTGTCAGCACTCACAGGTTCTCTGTACTAGGCTGCCTTGCCTTTAGAAGGCCTGAGGATGCCTCATTTGTAGTTTGCCTAGCTTTCTTCGAGAGTAAATGAGTCAAGAGAGGACAACACTCTTGTTGAGCAGCAGTGTTTGGCAAGTATGCCCACCAACTCGGAACTTTTTACGTAGTTTTTATTTCACAATCTTCTATAGTATTCTTGGAAACTTGGCTAGTATTCAAAGGCAACTACTATTTACATAGTTCAAGTCTAGAGAACACTGGGTTTTGTCAACAGCAGAACCACTGATTGGATCTCAGGCCTATGAGAGAGTAGACATCTTTCCAGAATTGTTACTTTCTGAAGGACTCTACTAGTTTAGGGAAAACTCCAACTGGATTATAACAGGTTCAGAAATACCCAGACTCACGTTTGCTAATGTATTAACTTTGTATAATACAATGCACAATTCCTTTTCTTAATGATTTGTATTTTGTCACTGTTGATTCTGGTGGCCAGAAGTCTGTAGCTCAGAATACAGTTTCAAGTGGTGTTCTCTAGACAGAGTCATTGTTCAGAAGGACAAATTTGATTCTGACTCTGTTTTGCCTTGGGTGAGTGAATCAGCAGGCCCACCCCTTCTCAGGCCCACACAAAATAGCAAAGTCTTTTCCTTGGTGTCTGGAGGGAGCAAGGATACATGTTTTACTCAGAGCAAAAAACCATATTCCTCATTATCCCATAAATTATTGCCTTGAGTTTAAGGCTTACTGCAGCCTTCTGACTAGATTTATTAGAGATTTGATCTTACATAGTTACTTTCCCAGCTTAGGCCACACTGCTAGATAGCAGACATCTTTCAGGCAAGCAGAAGGCTCAGTCAGCTACTTGCCTGACATAGAGCGATTTGTACCGCTCAGTTTTTCTGGAGTTGACAGCGCTGTCAGAATGCAAGACTTAAGGTTTTAAAACTAGAGTGACAAACTTTTAGTGTAAACAACCAATCCCAGGAGAATTGAAATGTTATGAACATCCCTGTCAGGAAGCGTGTCATCAGTAAACAGTGAAGATACTTGAAGGACTTGGAGCATCATCCATTTTCCTCCCCTGTTTTAGCAAAAGGCGTCATGCTCTAAGAAGGGATAATTTCAGATGCTTATCAAGCCTTTAACCTTTTAAGGCTGTGAGGTGGGATCTGAGAGAGGTTCTTGCTGTTGCTTTCTTTGTTATTGCATTAGATTTTTCCAGTGAACCCATCTCCTAGCCCTGTTACCTATACAGTGTCCATAAATGCTCATCACGCCCTGTACACAGTACCATGCTGGGTGCTGGTGACCTTAGTGCTTCAAGTATGGCCCTGGGCAGGCAGTATCTTTATCAGCCGGGAGCTTGTTAGAAGTGCAGTCTTCTGGACCTCCGGAGTCAATCTGTATTTTAATAGAATCCTCAAAGTCTCTATGAATAGTCTAGTGTGTGAAACCCTGCTTTAGGGATTTAAAGAGAACCAGGCAAGGCCTGTTAAAAAGAAATTTAAATAAGAGCAGAGTACAGAATGAATAAATATAAAAATGAGATCTGTAATACTCAAAGTCACCACTTATCCCTTCTCATGCATTCTCAAAAGAAATGTTTGAGGACAATCTTGACTTTTCTCACAGACTGTTAATTCACTTTTGGGCTAAGACAGAGTTGCCTTCTTAGGCAGTGTATCCTTGTGAAGCACACATTTTCAAAGGAGAATAGTGAAATCTTACCATTCCGATGATTTCTTACAACCACCATTGACAAAATCATGATAACGAGAACTTATTTAGCTGTTATTATGCATCAAAACTCAATGCTGTGATATGGTAAATAAAAATAAAAATTAAATTAAACATAAAATGACGATCTTGGATTGGTAGTGGTAAAGATGTAGAGCAAAAATATTAAGAGGAGGGCGTGAAGCGGGAAGGAAGACTTTGTTGGGATAGGGTGCTCATTAGCATTTGCTGGAGGAATTTCTGGGCCACGGGTTTAAATACATTTAGAAATTTAACATATATTCCTGGAGAGATTTCTCAGTGTTAAAGTGCTTGCTATGCATAATTTGGACCCCAGGAAGCCCATGCAAATATCAGATGAGCAAGTGTCCTGTGTATAACTCCAACCAGAAGACAGAAATTGGATTGCTAGAGCAAGCTGGCTAATAAAGCTATCTTAGCAATGAACTCTGAGCTTTATTGGGAGACCTTGCTACATTAAATAAGGTGAAAGAGCTAAGGAAAATGAATCTTGACATCAACCTTTGGACTCCACATGTCTGTGCACATACATGTATCTGTGTTCACATGCTTGAACATTTGTATTCACATATGCACACCACATACATGCATGAAAAATTGGAATTAAAATATAATAGTGGTAAGTATAAGAAATATTCTTTAAAGTTTCTACAATTTTTTACATATAGGTACGAATATTTATTGCCTACATCTTACTAACATATTTTTTAATTTTTTGATGTTTAGTATCTTATAGATGAAAAATAATTCAGTATTGTTTTAAGTCATATTTATTTTAAGAGATATTGAATTTCAATGGCTTAGAAGATATTATAGTTTCCTTTCTGGGAAGTTTGTTCATCTCAGTCTTTCTTTCCAAATTTGATTATTGTTCTTATTTTTGATATTAAGAACTTGAAAATATTTGAATGTATTTGACTATTTTTTGTATTCAATAATTAATAAATAATTATTGTAATAAAATGTGTTTGACCTTTATAGCTTTAGAATTATAAAACACTCAGAGTGGGCTTCTCTGAAGTTGTGTGACAATAAGATTCTATGTTTCCTTCCATTCTTTTCCCATTTTCTCTCTTTATCGCCAAATATTTTATTTGAAATTTGCTTTGGGTGAAGAATGGGAGTCAAGAATTCAGGTTTTATCTTTACTCATGCTATTCTCCTATTTTATTTACTCAATAAATAATCTATCTGTGTGCTGGAGTGAAGCCACATACCCCTCATGCCCTGTAGACTTGCTTCTGTAAGTTGCCTTCCAGGATGCTCGTTCTGTCTGCTCGATCTAAGCATGTGCTATTTCACATTTTTATCCTGTTGGATTTCAAACAGGTTCTGTGTGTGCATGTGCCTGTGTGTATATGTGTGTGTGTGTGTTTTCAGAATACCTCTTTACTCTTATTTCTGAATTACTATTTTCTGTTTTTTCTTGCTCACTTTTCACTCAACTTTACAGTCCTCTTGTCTAATTTATACAAACATCCCACTAATTTTATCGGAGTCATATCTATGTTTTTATGTTTGATTCAGAGGAATTAGGGTACTTATTCTTTTGACCAATTTATGCTATTTTTTTCAGTTTTCATTTAATCCATCCGTTAAGATCTTCAGCGGTATTTTAAAATTTCCCTCAATGTTTTCTTGTCAAGTTTATTTATAGATGCTGTATCCTTACTGTGTTGCTTTCTTATACTGACCTTTCCTTCCACTTTTCTCTCTACTTTCGAAGTCTCAGATAGTCTTGTTCTGACTCTTCAGAGCAAGCTACCCACTGAACTTCAGGTGTTGTTTCTCTAAGTCGCACCAGTCCCAAAGGTTTTGGTTGTGTTGTGTAAGTTCTCTCTCTTTGTTTAGCCTGCTTCTTGCTTTTGCAGCCCCACATAATCTCAAGAGACCCGAGTTTCTACTTGGTGTCTTTTCCCACTCTCTTTCTGCAGAGCAGACTTATTCTTCTCATCAACAATGACTGCATTTCTAGCCATATATGGTAGTGTATGTCTATAGTCCCAGCTATATGGGAGACTGAGGCAAGGGGACCATTTGAGCCCACAAATTCAAGCATCATGGAAAGGCTCCAAATCAAAGCAAAGAACCTGAAACAAGCCTCCCCCACCAGATGAGGATAAACAAAAAAGTGAGCTTTTATTCAGCATCAGCTAAACTAGGGAAGTGTGCTGTGGTGTTGGGAGGACCGGAATCACTGTTCTGGCCTACAGCGAAGACATGGTGGCCTTTACAGCTAACTGGTAGTAGCCTGCAGAGAATTCCTGATGCTAAAGGCAAACAATATTTGTCATTATGTCATGTTACGGTAACTAAGATCTACTTTGTGTGGTATTGGCTCTCCAGGTTGGATGGGCTATCCTTGAAGTAAAATGAAAGCAAGGACAGTTGAGCTTGGGACCATTGTTAACAATGATCTTCAGGCCCTGGTTCTGCCCATTGCTCTTTCTACCGCCATTCTCTCACTCGTTACTTCTTGGGAACGAATACACTTTACGGAATGAGCAAGAATGATATTTAGAATCTAGGTCAGACAATGTTTGCAGATACTACCTGCTTCCTTGACTCCTGGCTATATCTTTATATTTTATTCATAAAGGTCTCCAGAATGCCTGCCTACTCTTTCCGTCCTCTGTTCACCATTTCTTCCTCTCTGTGTTTCTACACTTCAATTCAGTCTTTTCCTGCACTTTGAACATTGGCTTGCATTTTGACTAAAGAGTTTCCTAATTCAATTTCATTTTAATTTTTCCTGTAATTACCTTCAATCTGCCTATAAGGCAGATTGTGTAAAGGTGCTGCTTTCATTACAGGAGGACTGTGGGTTACCATCCGAGGTTGCCATTTGGAAGGTACCAGTCTGGTGCTGTTTGGAACTCAGTCGTGTGCCATTGATGCCATTAGCAGCAGTTCACGACAAATTCGGTGCAAAGTTCCACCCAGGGTAAGGAGACACTTTGTTATCCTGTGCGAATTTTATCACATCCCTTCTGTGAACTAAAGTAACTAGTCTGAGCTTCTTTCATCATAACAATGTGCTAGTTTTTTCTATTGTTTGTTTTGCAAATAAAAATACAAGAACAATCCCTGTGCTCCTGTTGTGATTAATTTCAGGTAATTCCTTAAACAATAAGGCAACTCAAGCATCCTAATCTGTGCTTTTAATGAATATTCACACTACAGGATAAGCAAAAGTAGAAAGACATACATTATGTTGTCTTCTTCATTGAGCAAACAAGATGCACACTTCAGCAATTTTGTTTTCCGGCACACTTGTGGAACATAAAAATTTCTAAAAATCTTACGAACACCTTTTCTAGTTACTCCTTACTTTATTCTTCTGTAAAAGCAGATGCCTGGGCCTGGAGAGATAGCCCAGTTGTTAAAGGGCTTGGCTTGCAAGAGTTAATTTTGATCCCTGCTGCTTATATTAGAAGATCAAAATACTGACATATGCCTGCAGTTCCAGAGCGGAGGAGGAAGAGACAGGCAGATCTTTGGGGCTATCTGGCCAGCCAGAGTCCTAACAGGAAGTCCCAGGTCCCAGTGAGAGATCCTGTTTCAAGAAAAAAGGTGGAAAGTTCATGAAGAATGATACTCACAGTTGATTTCTGGGCTCCATGAGGACATATGCATGTTTGCATATGCACCTGTATACACATATACACCTACACACATGAATACACACACCACTCTTCATAAAAGCCTCTGTTTACACACAAACACTCATACACAAAACAAACAAATAACAACAAAAGTATGGTCCCCAAACTTCCCTGTCCTTCTTATTAGCACTGTCTAGTATCCACTGAGAAACTAAAGCCTTGTTCTTATCTCCGCTGGGGTGATTGGCAAGGGTCACGTCCATTGCCACAGTCAGAGTAATCAGAGCTGAGATAGTGTCCTCACCATTCTTAACATCTCTATGCCCCAGAGGATGGCTACTCAGTGAACAAACATGTCCCTCAAGAGGGGTACAGAAGACCAGTCAATCACAATCCCTACAAGTTTATGACATCCGGTTCCTCAAACACTAAGAAAAGCTAGCTTTGACATGACAGTGACCTGCAACTCTACTATAAAGCTGTACTACAGCTATTTGATTGGTCCTTCTTATTAGACATTTGAATACTTTTTAAATCTTTAAATTTAAAGCAAAGGCTTTAGACCATCCTAGAAATTATATTTTTGAACATATTTATATTTTCCTGAGCCCTTTAATCTAAAATTTAAACTTTTGGATAGAAATTCTTGTTATCTACAGTCATTTCCAGTTCATGTGCTCTGCATCATTGCATGTTTGATTTCTGGTACTTTGGTCAAATATGGGTGTTATCAGTTTGGTGTCGCCTCCATTTAATGAATAAAATTGGATCTCTTTGGGTTTCTTTTCCTACGGAGCATAAACATTAGAAAGAAAACTTTAAATCTTGAGCAAAGTTAAGATATGGAAAGGGACAGTGGAAAATAGAAGAACAATTATGTTCTCTTTTCTGCTTTTTCTCCTATCTCCCTGTTGGAAACACTTTTGATACTTTGGATTCAAACTACAATAATATTTTTTTTCAAGCAATAAAACATGTTTACATTATTATAGTTTTTAAATGATGCTGTAGAAATAAGGGATATAACTTCTCTTTTAGTGTTCTTTGATTCTCCCCTTCCCACATCAGCCAATTCTTTTTTCTTTAGGGCCTTTCTTATAATAGAATCTCAACGTGTTTTTTTATTTGTTATTTACTTTGAGAATTCAATACATTTATTAAATAAATGAATGAATCAGTAAACAATGGGAGGCCCTTGATGGTTTCTGATTTCAGATGGCACGAAGTGTTAGGGAGTGTGGAGCACCTCAACAGCAGGATCCAAACAACTCTGCTCCCTTAACTTTACCAGGTGTTGGGCAAGGTGGTGCCCACCTGGATCCAAGACACTTGTACTTATGCTTATCTTTCAAGTGACCAAGAAACTTTAATAGTCAAGGGAAAGCCACCAGACATCTTCCTCCCATCCCCTTTTCCTTGAGGTACTTGATTGTTTTAAAATCGCCAGTCAGGAAATGGAGTATCAGAGGAGTGTTCAGTTTCCATGAGGCTACATAGTTTGTATAAAGCAAACTAAGAATACACCACAGTGCCCTAAATGTCCCATCTGAGGGCTATATTTGTTATGCTTCTCTGTGATGCTTTAGGAATATTCTTTTCACAGGATTATTATTGTTTTTTTATTCTTCTCTCATATATTACATCTCAACGTCAATTTCCCCTCCCTCCCCCATCTCCCTCACTTCCCCTTTACCAAGATCCACTCCTCCATCTCCCTTCAACAAAGAGCAGTCCTTCCAGGAATATCAACTGAACGTAGCATAACAAGTTACAATAAGACTAAGCACATACCCTCCTGTCAAGGCTAGATGAGGCAACCCAAAAGGAGGAAAAGGATCCTAAGAGCAGCCAAAAAAGTCAGGGAAAAACCCCACTCCCATTGTTAGAAGTCTCACAAGAACACCAAGTTACAAAAGTATAATGTATATGCAGAGAATGTAACTCAGACCCATACTGGGTTCATGATTGTCGCTTTAGTTTCTGTGATCCCCTTCGAGTTCTGCTTAGTTGGTTCTGTGGGTTATGTTCTCTCGGTGTCCTTGATCCTTCTGACTCCTCTAATCCTTCCTTCTCCTCTCCTGTGGAGGTTTCCCTGGCCCCATATAGTGTTTGACTGAGAGTCTTTGCTTGTTCTCCCATCAGTTGCTGTATGTCAACTCTCTGATGACAATTGGACTAGGCACCAATCTATGAGTAATCATTTCATTGAATTTTTTACATGCCTTATTTGGCTGTTTGATTCTATCCTGAGTCTCTGCACTGCCTATCCTCTACATAGTGTCAGGCATTAGTTCCCTCTGGTGTGGCCCGCGTTATGAGTTGACCGCTACCATAAGTTCTGTGTCACCATTGCCTCAACACATCTTGGAGGCAGGACAAATTGTAGATTGAAGGTTTTGTGGCTGGGTTGGTATCTCAGTCCACTTCTGGAAGCCATTTCTGGTTTCAGAAGATGGCCAGTTCATATCCCCCCATTACTAGGGATCTTCACTAGGGTCATCCTAGAAGATTCCAGGGAGTTTCCAATGCCTTAGGTTTTCACATTGCTCATCATCCCAAATGCCCCTGACTTGCATCATCTTTCCCAATACTATCTTCCTCCATCAACTTCTCACCTGATCCCTCCTGTTTCCATTCCCTCCTGCACAGAGAATCTATTTTGTTTTCCCTTCTCAGGGAAATCCATGTGTCCCCCACTGAGTCCTCCTTGTTACTTAGCTTCTCTGGGTCTGTAGATTGTAGCATGGTTATCCTTTACTAAACAGTTAATGTTCACTTATAAGTGAGTCTGGGTTACCTCATTCAAGATGATTTTTTTCTAGTTCCATCTATTTGCCTGCAAATTTCATGATGTCACTGTTTTTAGCAGCATAGTAATACTCCATTATGTAAATTTACCATTGTTCTTTATCTGTTCTTCTGCTGAGGGACATTTAGGTTGTTTCTACTTTCTGACCATTATAAATAAGGCTGTTACAAGCAAGTGTCTTTTTGGTAGGATGGAGCGTTCTTTGGGTATATCTCCAAGAGTGGTATAGCTAGGTCTTGAGGGATGGTGATACCTCCAGAAGTTTATTTTGCTGTAAAGGATTGTTTCAGCTCTCCAAGGGTTTTTGCTTGTTTGTTTGCCTTTCCATATGAAGTTGAACCTTATCTTGCTCCTGATTTTAGTGGAATTGCTTTCAGTGTTTCTCCATTTCACTTGCCTAACAGCTTATTATAAACAGCCTTTATTCTGTTTATTATGTCCATTGTATCCATAGTCTCTCTAAGACTTTCCAGGAAGGGATGTTGGATTTCAATGAAGGTTTTTTCAGCATCTAATGAGATGATCATGTGTTTTTTATTTCAGTTTACTTATATGTTGGATTACATTGATTGAGTTTTTATGTTAAACCATCTCTGCATCTCTGGGTTGAAGCCTTTTAATGACTGCTTCTGTTTCCTAGGAGTTATAAATCCATTTAAATTGTTTGTCTGATCTCAATCTAACTTAGTTAAGTGGTATCCATTAAGAAAGTTGTCCGTTTCTTTTAGATTTTCCATTTTTTTGGAATACAGGTTTTTAAAATGTAACCTAATGATTCTTTGGATTTCCTCAGTGTCTGTTGTTATGTTTCCCTTCCCATTTCTGATTTTGTTAATTCTGATATTCTCTCTTTCTCTTTAAGGTAGTTTATATTAGGATTTGTTTATCTTGCTGACTTTCTCAAGGAACTAACTCTGTTTCCTTGATTTTTTTATATTGCTCTAGTTTTTCTATTTTTATTTATTTCAGTCCTCAGTTTTAATATTTCTTTTGGTCTACTACTCTTGGATATGCTTGTTTCCTCTTGTTTAGGGGTGCTGTTAAGTGGTTAGTATGAGATCTCTCTGATTTCTTTATGTAAACACTAGTTCCTCTTAGCATCAATTTCACAGTGTCCTATAAGTTTGGGTATGTTGTATATTTTTTCAATGAATTCTAGAAAGTCTTTAATTATTTTCTTTATTTCTTTTTTGACTTAGTAGTTATCCAGTAGAGAGTTGTTCAGTTTCCATGAGTTTTTAGACTTTCTGCTGTTTCTGTTATTGTTGAAAGCCAACTTTAACCTGTGGTAGTCTGATAGGATGCAAGGGTATATTTCAGTTTTCTAGTATCTGTTAAGACTTGCTTTGTGATGAAGTGTGTGGTCAGTTTTGGAGAATATTTCATGAGGTGTTTAGAAAAGGTGCATTCTTTTGTGTTTGGGTAAAATGTTCTGTAGATGGCTGTTAGCTATATTTTGTTCACAATGTCTTTTAGCTCTAATATTTCTGTGCTTAATTTTTTTCTGGATGATATGTATATTGGTGATAGTTGGGTATTTAAGTATCCCACTATCAATATGTGAGAGTTGATGTGTGATTTAAAGTTTACAAATGTGGGTATCCTTGTATTTGAGGCATAGATGTTAAGAATTGGAAGATTATCTTGGTGGACCTTTCCTTTGATAAGCATGTAGTATCCTTCTCCATTTCTTTTGATTTTAGTTTGAAGTCTACTTTGTTAAATATTAGAATGGCTATACCAGATTGTTTCTTAGATTCATTTTCTTGAATTTTTTTCATCCCTTAACTCCGAGGTAATGTCTGTCTTTGATGTGGAGGTGTGTTTCTTCTGTACAGAAGAATGATTGTTGCAAATTTTGCATCCATACTGTTATCAATATGTGTCTTTTTACTGGGGAAACAAGTCCATTGATATTGAGAGATATCAATGACCAATGATTGTTAATTCTTATTATTTTGTTGTGATTGTTGTCGTTGTTATTGGTGTATGTGTGTGTGTGTTTCCCTTCTTTTGGCTTTGCTGATATGCGATTATTCATTTTATTTTTCCATGGTTATAGTTTACCTTCTTGTGTTGGAGTTTTTCTTCTAGTAACCATTGTAGGGCTGGATTTCTGGACAGATATTGTTTAAACTTGACTTTATCATGGAATATATTTTGTTCATCTATGGCGATAGAATTTTTTCCTGGATACAGTGGTCTGGGTCTGTGGTCTCTTAGAGTCTGAAGAACATCTGTCCAGGTCCTTCTGGCTTTTAGAGTCTCCACTGAGAAGTCAGGTGTCATTCTGATAGGTCTGCCTTTATATGTTCCTTTTTCCCTTGCCGCTTTTATTATTCTTTTTTAGTTCTGTAGGTTTAGTATTTTGATTATCATATGGCAAAGGGGCTTTCTTTTTATGTTTCAATCTATTTGGCTGTTCTATAAACTTCTTGTACCTTAGTAGGTGTGTCCTCCTTTAGGCTAGGAAGTTTATCTTCTATGTTTATATTGAAAATATTTTCTGAGCCTTTGAGATGGATTTCTTCTCATTCCTCTATTTCTATTATTCTTAGGTTTGGTCTTTTCTGTGTTCCAGATTTCCTGGATATTTCATATCAAGAATTTTTAGATTTAAGATTTCTTTTGACCATTGTATCTATTTCTTCTACTGCATCTTCAGTGCCTGAGATTCTCTCTTTTGTCTCTAGTATTCTGTTGGTGATGCATATGTCTGTAGTTCCTGTTCACTTACCTAAATTTTTATTTCCAGAATCTCCTCTGTTTGTGTTTTCTTATTTCTTCTGTTTATATTTTCAGGTCTTGAATAGGTTTATTCATTTTCCTCAGCTCTTAATTTTTTCTTGGATTTTTAAAAGAGATTTATTCATTTCTTCCATTTTTTCTTTGCGTTTTCCTGGATTTTATTAAGGGATTTATCCATTTCCTCTTTAAGAACTTCTATCATCTTCATAAAAAATGTTTTAAGGTTGTTTTCTTATGCTTCAGCTGTGTTGAAATATTTAGGGCTTACTGTAGTAGGAAAGCTGGATTCTTATGGTAACATATTATCTTGACTGTTGTTGGTTGTGTTCTTGTACTGGTATCTACACATCTGGGTTGGGGAGGATTATAGGTCTAGGTGTCTATAATCATTTTTATCTTTGTTAGATTGGTGTTTTGTTCCTTGGCTTCTGTTTTCTTTCTCATCTTCTGCTTGAAGCAACCTGTGGTTGAATAGAGGACCTGCACTTGATTTGTGGGATGGACTTCTTTTGGCTGAGATGGCTCTGGTTGAGCAGGGCATTTCCACTGGACTTAGGGGTTGGGGTTCTGGAAGCCAATATGGCATCTGGTCCAGCCAGCCAGGGGTCCTCTACCAGAGTTGGGTACTGGAATATGGTGACAGGGTTGGGTGGGGTGATTGAGGATAGGCTGGGCAGACTCTGAGTGGGTGGGCAGCCTACCTGGAGGCCTGTGTTGACTTTGGTACTCAGGAGACCTCTGCTAGCACTGGGGGATAGGATACCATGAGAAGGCGAGGAGGGTAGTAGGGAACCCCACCATGTTTTAAGTGAACTTCCTCATTCCTTCATTCTTTTTACAGAAGCTCTGTTCTTGCTTTGATCTAGGTTAGACATAGCTAGACTTCTTTTCTGTAGATTATATTTTGTTCCTTGTTTTCTCTTACTAATAGATTCACTGTTTACTCTTCTGTGACAATTTTATACATGAATATAATATATTTTGATGATGTTCTTCCACTACCACCCTTCCTTGACTCCATTCTACTTCCTCTACATTCTTTCTTTTCAAGTTCTTCCCTTTTCTTTAAAGCTTCATTGAATTTCATTAGGGTTTCTTGAATGAGCATAGGGTGAGGGGTTTACTTACCAGTGACTACACCACAGAAGAAAGTGGCAGCCACATTCTCCAGCAGTCAATAACTGAGGCTGGTAGGGCCTCAGTTGGGATAGAGTCCTTCTGAACCACTTCCCCCATCATCCTGGAGTGTTGGTGGACTCTGTTTTACCTATGTCTTGTGGGGTAACCACAGCTGCTGTGAGTTCAAGAATGCAATGATCAGACCGTGTCTAGAAGCCAGATTTCACAGCACCCCTCTCCATCCTTTGGCTTCTGCATTCCTTCTACCACACTTTTCTCCATGTATCTGGAGCCTTGAGGGGCTAAGAGTGCTGTCTCCTTCATTTGGTTATTATTTATCTGGGAGACCAAAAGCCTTAAGTTGCATCTTACAAAATACAACATAGGAAGAAAATTTCTGAGTGTTTACATGCCTGAAACTACTCTCTCACATGATGAATAGTTTAGCTGAGTATAGACACTCCGAAAACACCTTATGGCCCAGAAACAATTAGTGTGTTAAGTGCAGATTGCCCTTACTTACCGTTCAGGGCACAGCCAATACTATTCAGTACTGCATTTGTCTAAGTTCTTGTCTGTCTGCAGAAACTATATACAATGATGAGCATTTTTAAAAATATTTATTTTTTTATTTTTACCGATTCGGCTTAGAGCTCTCCTTTACCCTCAAATCCAGCTGAGATTTGAAATTCTAAATTTCTAAATTTGCTTTTCAGGGGAAAGATGGATACACTGTGAATGTGACCGCAATCATTGGAGAGCACTCCCCAGTTCTTCCCAGAGCACTTACTTATGTCTCCTCTTTAAATCCAGTGGTTGTGTCTTTGAGCAGAAACAGAAGCAGCATCGCAGGTAAGATCCATGTTACCTCCAGCTGTTCTTTTCTGAGAGTTTTGGTCCTATTAAAAGTCTATGAATAGACTGTGGATTTTAATTTACTTATTTGAGGTAGGGTCTCCCTATTTAATCCAACTAGCCTGAAACTATACTTGTATGACCTTACATTCACAATGCTTGTTACACCCTTTTGAGTGCTATGATTGCAGACACGCCTACTGGATCCACCTTATTGTAATGCAGACAAAAGATGTTTTTCAGGTTACCTGTCAAAATTTAATCTTATATCTGATTTCTTCTCTGTGGAAATGGGACTATTTCCTCATGAAAATGATGTGAATTTTACATTAGTATTCAATAAATATTTATTGAGCAGCTAATTTGTACTGCTGATGCTAATTGAATAGATGCATGATAGACTTCAATCCTTAGCACAAATTTATGGCTTCAGTTTCAGACAAGAAAACTGAGGAATAGAGTATAAGTGACCTAAGAGAAAAATACCTTGAGATTTAAGCATCAACTGCCTGAAGATCCAAGCATTCAGCCACTTACAGTTGAATATAGATTTTGGCCATAGTTTCTTTCTTTCTTTCTTTCTTTCTTTCTTTCTTTCTTTCTTTCTTTCTTTCTTTCTTTCTTTCTTTTCAATTTTTCATCTTTACATGGTTTTATTTTAAACTATATTTATTTAATTTTTCTTTTTTTAAATTTTTGGCTTTTTTATGATTATGTAGGTTATTTATTTTTATTTTTATTGAGCTCTACGTTTTTCTCTGGTTCCCTCCCTGCCTCTCCCCTTCCCTTCAATCTACTCCCAAGATTCCCATGCTTCCAATTTACTCAGGAGATCTTGTCTTTTTCTACTTCCCATGTAGATTAGAGCCATGTATGTCTCTCTTAGTGTCCTCATTGTTGTCTAGGTTCTCTGGGATTGTGATTTGTGGGCTGGTTTTCTTTGCTTTATGTTTAAAAACCACCTATGAGTGAGTACATGTGATAATTGTCTTTCTGGATCTGGGTTACCTCACTCAGAATGATGTTTTCTAGTTCCATCCATTTGCCTGCAAATTTTAAGATGTCATTATTTTTTTTCTACTGTGTAGTACTCCATTGTATAAATATACCATATTTTCCTTATCCATTCTTTGGGCAAGGGGCATTTAGGTTGTTTCCAGGTTCTGGCTAGGACAAACAATGCTGCTTTGAACATTGTTGAACACATGTCCTTGTGGTACAATTGAGCATTCTTTCGATGTATACCCAAAAGTGGTATTGCTGGGTCTTGAGGAAGGTTGTTTCCTAATTTTCTGAGAAATCACCACACAAAGGGGTTGTACCAGCTTGCATTCCCACCAGCAATGTAGAAGTGTTCCCTTTACCCCACAACCTCTTCAGCATAAACTGTCACCAGTGTTAGATGGAATCTCAGTTATTTTGATTTGCATTTCTCTGATGACTAAGGATGTTGAGAATTTCCTTAGGTGTCTTTCAGCCACTTTAGATTCCTCTGTTAAGAGTTCTCTCTTTAGGTCTGTACTCCATTTTATTGTGACAGTTTAACAGAGTTATAGAAGATGTATTCTGTGTAACCAAGGCTTCTTTTTTGTTGAGACTTACTGTGTACAAAAAGAAATTTAAAAGCATAACACACCAAAATCGTTTAACCTTTATTTGAGACTCAGATGATATAATGGAATAGAATTATAATGATTTCTTATTATGTCATCCCAATACAGACTAACTATAGTAGCTGGTGACACTTCTTCCTGGTTAATTGAGTGCCAGATGGTAAAGTTTATGGTTTATTATAAAAAGACCATCATGTTTCCTAATGAAAAATCTTGAACTCATATTTCTGGCACTGTTTTAATTTTCCAAATCCCAATCATATACAAATAGAGTGATGTGCCCTTTAACTTCTAATATTATTCAGTTCAGATCACACAGAAGAGTTTTCTGCCTCAACTGACAAAAGTGTCTAAAATTCCCAAATGGTACAGATTCTTCCCAATAAGGCAGAGAAGGGAGCAGGGAGCTCATGTAACATTCATATATCAGTGATCTAAAAAAAATTCCTACCTCTAATGCTAATAAAATATATATTGTGTATTGAAAGTATCTAGAATTGGCCTGACAGTTTGTGATACCAAGTTCTGAAGTTTGAGATATTGTTACATACTATGCAAGGTATTATTTCAGAGTTTAGATATGTATATATATTTCAGAGTTTATTTTTAGACCTGCCTGTGTGCAAATTAAAGAACATGCTATAACATCCTCACAGTGTGGCGGCACAGTGGGAAAATCTCTTTAAGGTTGTGTTGCTTCATCCAGGAGATGATTTTGTTGATTGTGAAGCCAAGATGAAAAAAAAAAAACACAAGGAAAGGGCAAGGGGGAGTCTGAGTTTAGGAGCATAAATGTGGTCAAAGAAAGTTGACTATCAATGAATATCAACTCAACCACTTGTTTAAAAAGTTGACAAATTCATAGCATGTATAAAACAAGAGTAATTTGTATATTTGGCAGTCTTCAGAACCAGAGGGTGCTCTCAGGGATTACTCTGTCATGGCTGACAACATTTGTAGACAGAAATGGAATGAGGTCTAGAAACAGCTTGATTGATCACAGCATAATGTATCTCAAAGTTGATCGTGATTCAATCACTTGCCAGTCCATGATTGGCTAGAGCTAATCTGGTGGTTGGTGAGGCTCAGCTAATGTCACATAAATATACTCATAATTCAGGATGTCAGTTTGTTACTTAGGTCACACTTTGCTACAGGGCTCAAGGTATGGGGGCATCTTCAGGCCAAATTTAATTTAACTTGACACACAGTGTGCCCTTGTTCCCACAGATTCTGCATATGTGGATTCAACTATGAGTGGAAAATGTTTTAAAAAATTGTGTCTGTACTGAATAAGTACTGATTTTTTTCTAAATCATTTGACAGCTATTATGTTGCACAATATATGGGACATTTAAGTAATGTAGATACTATTTACAGTGTATGTGAAGATGTGTGTAGATTCTATGTAGATACTTCATTTTATACAAAGGACTTGAAAATCCTAGGTGTTTTCTGCCTTATTGGGAAGAATCTGTACCATTTGGAAATTTTAGACACTTTTGTCAGCTGAGACAGAAAACTCTTCTGTGTGATCTGAGCTGAATAATATTAGAAGTTAAAGGGAACATCACTCTATTTGTATATGATTGAGATTTGGAAAATTAACTTATCATGGGACAGGGGTTTTCCCAAGATCAGTCCTCCATGCATCCCAAGGAGTAACTATATTTATTTTTTAAAGTAATTTATCTTGTATTTATTTATTTATTTTTATGTTTGATGTCTTGAGACCAGGTTGCTCTGTAGCTTTGGAGCCTGTCCTGGACCAGGTTGGCCTCAAACTCACAGAGATCTGCCTGCCTCTACTTCCTAAATGCTGGGACTAAAGGCGTGTGCCACCACTGCCCAGTTTGTATTTATTTTTAAATATTAGCTTATAAAGTAGTAATTTTCATTAAGGTGGTACCACTTCCTGGAGGGCCAGTCTCCAGGGGTGTAGGGCTCAAAGGAGTCTACAGATTCAGCACGTACTAAAACTTTTTTATCTGAGGGATAAAGGAAAAGGCACTCACACACTCTCTTGATGGTTTCCCTCAGACCTTTTCTTTATTTTTCTTTTGTATTCTCTGTATTCTTTCTTTTCCTGAGGTAATTTCCTTCTTTCATTCTTCATGTTTTTCCTTCTAGTTCATTTTAACTCTCTCTTTATTCTTATTCTTACAACTTACAATGTGGTTACACTCTGTTTTTTGATTGAATGATTGCAATGAACAGTAGTAAAAATCAGCATGTTTTCCATATCCCTTAACATGATTAAGCATTTCAGGTAGTACAGGTGGAAAACAAATTGTTCCAAGAACTCACGTACATTCATACTCAAGCCACTTGTTGTAGATTAACAGTGTAGGCAAGCAATTCTTTTCCTGGCAGACTATATTTTGCGGTTACAAAGAAAGGACCAATCACTTTATTACTTATCTTGAAAGGGAGTCTTATAAGAAATTCTAAATGAATTAGAAATATAAATTTTTATTTATGAAAAAGAATCAGTCGGCTCTACCTTAAATCTTTCGGGTGCATACCCACTCACCAGTAGTTTTTTCATATATCAGGAGATTGAGGGCAGAGATGTGCACAAGGAATTAATCCTCACCATTGATCACCAACCAAACCTAGCAAGAAAGGCCCTCCAACTAATGATAATTGGGCTGCCTTGTTCTTGTTCTCTGACCTTAACAAGTTCCTCATTCAAATATGTGACTTTCTAAAACTTTACATTGTCTTCTTGGGTTTTTCACCTCAAAGCTATTTGACAAAAGCATCTTAGTCTAGCTTTAAGTCATTTTCAAAGATTTGTTTCAGCTATGATGCTCTCAAAAATCTATGAACACATCTCCCAACATTAAAATTAGAAAAATTTAAAGTAGCTGGGCTATTGGGACTCAGTTGTTTTTCTTAATCATTAACACAAGCCATAGTCTATATAGCTCCTCAATAGAAACTCAAGTGTTCTAGCTCTGCGATGCTTCCTTGTTTTGTTTTTATAATCAAAATATTATTTAAACTAACATTATTATTATCATCAGTTAGACAGCAAATCTTAGGAAGAAATCATCTTCGTAATAATCCTCAGGTAAAAATCCCCAGTAGAATGGGATAGTTCCATGGAATAAACATACTAATTTACAGGCAGAGGGATGGCCCTATACCCATTCACACCATACCAGATACCAGAGAAAGAAGGCAGAAGCAAATGTGTGAAGACACAGCAGAAGCAAAAGACATCCTGGAGTCTGTGGTCTTGGGGCCTTGTCTATCCAAGATTCACCCATCAGGGATTCACCTCCTGGTAGGCTGACACCCTGAAGTCAATTGCGATCTGCTGCTCCTCTGACATGGCTACTGGCAAGGCTTTTTCATATGTGCTTTGATTTTGTTGTTCTTTTATCCAGAGGAACTTTGTCCCACCCAATTTTGTGAACCCCTATTTCCCGCCATGGTGTGCGCTTTTTGTATCGAGCTGCGAGCTTGGAACAATGTCCTAGGAGTTAAAAACAGACATATATACATAGAGAGACCTGGATCATTTGCCCAAAAGGTAAATGTCCATTTTATTTAGCGAAATTCCAGGTTTATATACTTAGGGGCCCAGGGATGAGAACCCCCTCCCAGCGGGGAGTGAGATCAAGATGTTGAGTGCTCGGCGCTGAGTAACAGGAGGAACCGGGCAGGGGGGCTCAAGTAGTGACAGATGTGTAGTGACAGATGTGGCAGGCGCCATTGTGAGAACCTTTTTTTGTAGGTTGAATTACCATGTCAATAGAGGATAAGGCTCTCTATGCTAATTTTCCTAGCCGGTGGAGTGAGCAGAGGAGATGGCAGGAAGCTAGACTGGTTGGGTAAATAGTCCTGCATAGCACCTCGAGGAGCTGGGAAAGGTCTGGGATCCAGCAGGTCTCCCTTATTAAATATAATATATGATGACCAGGCCTATCTTAGGTGTGATGGATGTCAGGCTAGATCCCTGTACCTGTTTACGGAATGTGCCCAGGTCCAAACGCATCCCTGTCTTAGGTTGAGACTGCCCCTCCATGCAAACAAACCTGTCTTTGGCTCAGGTCATGTATCCATAAGTTTAGCCGGATTTAAGCTGAGAGATATTTTGAGGCGAATGCCTAATAGGACTAGCCGTGCAGCGGACCTGACTAGCCATCGGCTCTGTACCCTGGGATGATGCACCAGCACATATAAGCATTTTAAGAGGAGACTGTGCTTAGCACAATCCTTGAAAACCTGCTCAGAGACGATGTCCCTTAAGCAAGGGCCAGTACCGGCGAAAAAGGCCCCTGGCAAATCTAATTAGATTAATAATAATGCCAATTAGCAGATCTTGTATATCAGGGTCCAGGAAGACAGCAAAAAGCCTATTCTGTGACCAGCAGAGAAAACCTGTACCCAGTCCGTAAAGATAAACTGTAGTATTTAATTGTAAATTTAGATCAATTTGAATGGCCATGGCATTTTAGCCTGTCTCGACAAGGTTTTTGCAGTGCATAGCAGGAGCTGCTGACAGGATAGGGGAGCAAAGCCGCATCTAGCAGGCATGGCAAAGACTGACAGATCAAGGCAACTGAGAAAATCTTATACCTTCGTAAGACTGTTCTATAGGCTACTCTGTGGAGTATTGTCTGATTAATGATGGATGGGGGACAACCCAGTTTACCTTGGGAAGTGCCATCTCTGGCACTTGAATGGTCTGTGAATGTATAAGAAGGCAGGCTGAGCAAACAGTGAGGAGCCAGCCAGCAAGCAGTAACTGTTTGTAGCCTCTGCTTCAGTTCCTGTTTCAGTTCCTGCTTCTAGGTTCCTGCTTGAGTTCCCTCTGTGGTGGAGGAAGACCTGCCAGTTGTAAGAAGAAAGAAACCCTTTCCTCCCCAAGCTGCCATTGTTTCAGCAGTAGAAACCCTGGCTGAGACAGGCAGTCTCTTCCCATCTCATCTAATTAGCTGTGGTGTCCTCTACTTGGGATCACTGCATTGACTCTGAGGCACGTGTGGTTAATGGACCTTTAGGGTGCTCTATTCCAAACTGGGGGTGCACTGGGGAGTGTGAGGCAGAGGCATGCATTTCTGCTTCTGCTACTGTGTGCATAACTGGCTTTCATTAAGGCTCTGGTTGTCTGTAGGTTGAGTTTGTCCTTCCTGCATGTTTGTTTATTCTCTAAGCATGAACAATAGCTCCAGTCCTATCTTTCCATTCCTTGCACACCTACGGATGTTTCCAAGGAATATAGATTCCCTGAGGATTAGCTTTTCTGCTGATCCATCAGACAGACATCACCGTCTTGGTTTCTTTCCCAGACATGTACCTGTGTCTTCACATACCTTCCTTCTGAAAATCCAGCTAGCTGCTGCCGTTTCCCTCAAGCCACTGAATGATTAAATGATAACGTGCTACACAAGGCTTGAGACCAAGTTGTAAAATTTTAAGAATTAAATATTAAGTCCCCACTTCACTCACTCTCTTTGAGATTGTATCTACCAAATTGAATCTGAAGTACCATATTGTGCAATAATTCGGCCTCTACTTGTGTTCTTATTTGAATAATCATGGTTAGTCTTTGAAGAACATTCTAATTTGAATAGAACTGCCTGTTAATTGACTCATATAGTGTGTCTTCTACTTAAAATTAAAAAAATCATGGTTTTAAATAAACGTGTGTGTGTGTGTGTGTATGTGTGCGTGTGTGTGTGCACATGTGTGTGTTAGTGTGCAGTTCAGAGGACAACCTATGGAGTCAGTTCTCTCCTTTTCCCATGTGGATCCTAGGGAGAACACTCAGGCCATCTGGTTTGGTGGCAATGACTTTCCCTCTGAGCCATCTCGCCTGCCCCTACCGACACAATTTTGTCAGTTTATTTACAAGTTTTGACAGTTATTTGACATGGACTTAATACACACCTCAATTAGAAAGAGTTGAGGTAAGTGTTTATGATATACACTTTTCTTAAAAAAAAAAAGTAGAGTTGCTGATAGTTGCAAGAGACCATTGAACTACAGAGCAGAGATAGGAGTGCAGGGTTTGCCTTTTTCACTACTTAGCTATGACACTTTGATGACTAAGGTTTCCTCCACTTTAAAATGCTAGCTGTATTTCACTGGCACAGTGGATAGTAATTAGCTTCAGCCGCATAATTGATGCAAACCTAAAATCACCTGGAATATGGAGCTTCAGATGAATTGCTGGACCTGTCTGCCCTGTGAGTGTGTGTGAGACACATTTTCTTTTCTTTAAAATTTCTATTTAGATTTATATATTTTATTTTATACATGTGAGTATTTTGTCTGCATGTGTGTGCGGGTACCAAACATGTCCCTGGAACCCATGGAGGTCAAATTTTCTAGAACTGGAGTTATGGATAGTTGTGAACCACCATATAGGTGCTGAGAACCAAACCCAGGTCCTCTGTAAGAGCAGCAAGTTCTCTTAGCCACCAAGTCTTCTCTCTAATCTCCTGTGAGGCACTGCATTAATAGATAACTGATATAGGAGGGCTCAGCCAGTTGTGGGTGGTGGCATCCCTAGGATGGGCCTAGGGTATATAGGAAAGGAATAAACCAGGGACAGCAAATATAGCAGCAATGTTCCATGGCCTCTGCTTCAGTTTCTGTATTGAAATCTCTTTGCTTCTCTCGATGGTTCACTATAACTTATGAGACCAATAAACCCTTTTCTCCCCACATTGGCTTTGGCCAGTGTTTTGTCATAAGGCCATAAAGCAAGCTAGGACTCAGAGGGAGGATCACATGGGATAATGGCATAGAAGTAGATGACCTGTTGGAATCATGCAGTACATCTCGGAGATGGAGATTTTTACTTTTCTTAGCACAAAAGTAGCAGCTAAAGGAGAGGACACAGAGCATTGATTTGTAGGTAGGGAAGACAATTGATCCTCCAAATTACTTAATTTGCCTTTCCAGGGTTCAAAGTCAGCCTAAGTGTCTCAAAAATTTGCAACATTGATGCCCTTGAGGTTTTAGACCGTTGCTCTGTTTAAGGATGTTAGAAATTTCGTGAGAAAAATGGGGAGCTGTTAAAATTCTTAGAGACTGACGTATATTGCTGACTTTATTTAATCATAAAAGACAAAGTGGTTGAGGTCCCAGGTCCAGAAGTAAATATAGTTTTCTTGATACAGGAGGCGAGATCCTGTTCCTTGGGATGGCAAGGCTGGCGAACGACTCCGACCTGGATGTCCAAATCCGTGTGCAGAACACCTCTGCTCAGGTCCTCACACAGACAGCTTGGGGACTGGAGTTGATGCTGCCCCCACTGCCAACTGGCATTCACACGATTTCAGTCTTCATTAATGGAGTCAGCATTCGTGCCCAGGGGTAAGGTTGACTGGGGGTCTGTTTGGTGATCAGCAATTCACTTGGGAATGTCTGCCTTGAGTTGGGTGTCTTCTTTGTTCCCTGTAAAGTGAGGTGATGAGGGTCTGAGAATTATAAACATATGAATGAATCTCGAAGCCTTGCGGGCAGTTCACTCCTTAGACTAACAGATGAGAAATGTTGTCTTCCTTGTTTGGGGAAAGGGAAATTGGAAGTTAGTGGAGGTGGGGATAGGGTGGGCCTCTGCCTAAAGAAGGCAAGCCTGTCGTGGAGCACTTTAATAAGACTGTGTCTGGGACTTTGGATAAATGATTTGTAATAACTGAATTCACTATGCCTCCTGTCTCACCTTCATCTCCTCTGTACTCCTGAACCACTCTAGATTTTTTTCCAGAAATTCTCTCTCCTTCATTAGAAAGTATCTAACCTGTGTGTGACTGATGTCGCCCCTGAGACTTTCCCAGGACAACACCCCACCTGTCTCTCCACTATTGAGTAGAATCACTGTCACTTGCCCCTCCACCTTTTATAAGCGTATCTCCATTCTGCTCTGCTCATCTCCAGGGTATTTTCTAACATGACCTATTTTCTCTAGGGTTGATCTCCACATCCAGTACCTCACTGAAGTTTTCAGCATGGAGCCTTGCTCTGGGTCTCTTCTGGGTGAGTGGTTCTGACATCACACATTATTTGTCCAGCAAGTTGGTTTACTGAATACTCAGATTTTGTCCCCGGACTAATGAGCTGGTGAGGGCAGGGCTGCAGGCATTAGGGTGAGATATTTCCCTTCGTTCTCAGACGATCATTGCTCTTTTGTGAGATGGGAAGACTTGTGGGACTTCAGCTCTGTGAACTCCAAAAATAAAAGAGAATGAAAAAGAGAGAGGGCTGGCTGACTTTTATTCCTACAGGAAATGTCAAAGCATCCGGTGGACGCCACACTCAAGTAGGTATTAGGAAGGGACGAGCCAGCCTCCTTCAGTAGTGTTTTAGACACCGCATTTGGAAGGAGAGGAGGGGGAGCCTCAGGCGCTTCACCTTCCGCTAAAGATGCAAGACAAAGGAGAAAGACAGAAACACAAACACAGTAGTGAAGAGTAAGAGAAATGTAGAGTGTTCTGCCAGATAATGTAACAGATGACAAGAAAATGAGAGCTGGATTTTTCATTCACATATTAGTAGAGAGCAGTAGAGCCTTCTGAGACATACAAAGGTGTTCTAAAATTTTGTCTTAAACATTTGAAAGTTATCTCTCTTGGAGTTTGATGGTCGGTGATTAAGATCACCTGTTACTCCTGCAGAGGACTTGGCTCAGTTCCCAGTACGTATGAGTTGGTAGCTCCAGTTTCAGGGCATCTGTCATGTCCTCTCTGGCCTCCACAGGCACAGGATACAGTGGTACACAGACATACATGCAGGCAACATGCCCGTACATGTAACATAAAAATAAACCAATTTTTAAAAATATTCTTACGAAACAATTTTAACTGCTTTGCCACTATGTGAATTTTGTTCTATCTGAGCACTGGCTAAAGGATCACAAATTTAGCCAGGAGAAGGAAGAAATTTGCACATACCGCTTCCCACTTCATTGCATCAGATCTGTACAGGGGGTGCGGTTCCTATTTGGAATATTAGCTTTTACATGTGTATGTGTGTCTATGTGTATGTGTGTGCGTCTATGTGTGTCTCTGTGTGTGTGTGTCTGTGTGTATCTGTTTCTCCATCTAAGAACATTCCAGCAGTCATGAAGAGGTCAGAGTTCAGTTCTCCACTTTCACCATATGGGTCCTCTTCAGGAGCTGACCTTGGGTTATCAGACTTGACAGTGAAGGCATTTAGTTGCTGAGCCTTTCTGCTGGCCAGAATGTTGCTTTTAATTTTGTATCGTCCTTGTTTAAACTTTAGGTGGGACCATCCTCAGCATTGCAGGAATAGGACTCGGCAGAGACCCGGCTCTGATTTGGATACTCGTGGACAACCAGACTTGCGATATCGTGACCTTAACCGACACGAAAGTCTGGTGTGAGACTCCTCCAGCCGCACTGTCACCTGGGGCAGATGTTCTCAGTGTCTCCGCTTCTGTGGAGATCTGGGTCGGGAACACATCTTTCCTCCATGGTCCAAGCGTGGTGGGGAAGGGCCTTACCTTCACGTATGAAGCAGCCACAACACCAGAGGTCACTTCTCTGTGGGAAGAACTCACAAACAACAGCCTGCGGTTCTGTGTGGAAGGAAATAACCTTTCTGACTCAGCCATTCTTTTCGGAACCTGGAAATGTGACCTTGAAGTGCAATCTTTTGTCGAGACTGCGAGCTTGTCTGAGTGCTCCTTTCCTCTCGACAATTTGGAAGCAGGGGTCTATCCTCTCCATGTTCGCCACAAGTGGATGGGGTTTGCCAACATGTCGGCAGTGCCCCAGAAGTTTGAGTTGTCACCGCAGATAATGGCCATCTTCCCAACACGTGGTTCTCTGTGTGGTGGGACCATACTCACTGTGAAGGGGGTGGCCTTCAATTCGAGACGGAGGTCAGTTCATGTTGACCTTTCGGGCCCTTTTGCTTGTGTGATTTTGAGTTTGAGAGGCCACACAATCCTATGCCAGACCAAATTGGTGGGCAACCACTTTTCTGCAGTGCCACCTGCTCTAAATGTCACAGTTGTGGTCAATGGGCTGGCCAGCAAGTGTGTGGGAAACTGTACACTCCTCATGCAGGAAGAAGTGACGCCAACTGTGGTTGCCTTGACTGCAAGCATCAGTGGTTCTGTAACCACGGTGCTGATGAGATGCCAACGGTTAGGTACCACGGATGCTGCACCAACAGTGTTTGTGGACGATCAGCTTCCTTGCCACACAACTTTCTTCAACACCAGCCATGTGGCTTGCCAGATGAGCGACTTGCCCCCAGGGCTCCACTATCTGTCAGCTGTTCATACACACACTGGATATGCGTGCCTGGATAGCGCTTCTAGAAACTTCTTCATTGCGCCTCAGGTGTTTGACTATTTTCCCAAGAATTGCAGCATCCACGGTGGAAATTTCTTGACCATAAAAGGCACAGCTCTTAGGGGACGGAACGCTACATTTGTCTATGTTGGCCAGCGGGCTTGTCTCACCGTGAACATCAGTTACGAGCTCATCCAGTGCATCCTTCCTGCAGGAAGTGGCTCTGTGGCCCTGGAAATAGAGGTGGATGGAGTTTTGGGCCACGTGGGACTCATTGGTTATAGCAGTGTCTTTACCCCGCAACTGCTTTCTGTTTCACGGAGTCATGACATCTTAACCTTTGCAGTGGCCCAGATCTCAGGGGCTGCGAATGTTGTCATTTTTATTGGGAAGTCACCATGCACGGGTGTCTCTGGGAACCGTACAGGTCTCCAGTGTATGGTTCCTTTACTTCCTGCTGGGGAGTATCCTGTCACAGGCTATGACCACAGTAGAGGCTGGGCCTCTTCGGCTCTCATTCTGGAGCAGAGAGCAACTGTGACCTCAGTGACGAAGAACTTTGGTAAGTAGAGAAGACAAGATAGAACACGCTCTCTATGAAGCGAATTAACTGGTACTGTCCATTTTAGGAAGGAGGGTACCAACGTCACTGTAGGGTAGCAGGAACAAAGAGCTGGGACACTTCTTGTAGCCACGGCTGTTTCTTCAAGCCAGTTTTTGTGACATTTTGTTGATCTATCTTCATTTTCCATCAGGGAAATTTCACATATTCCTCTAAGTATTTGATTGTATTTTACTTTAATGCATCAACTTCACTGGACATGTGTTTTAAATTTAATAATATAATTTTCTAAAGCTCATTATTTTATTATATAAATGTATTCATCTATTTTAGGCATATGCTGATTTGTATTATATTTTATTTTTAATTTTTTAAATTGTTTTTTATTGAGCTATACATTTTTCTTTGCTGCCCTCCCTATCTCTCCCCTCCCCTTCTACCCTCTTCGATGGTCCCCATGCTCTCAATTTACTCAGGAGATCTTGTCTTTTTCTACTTATCATGTAGATTAGATCCTTGTATATCTCTCTTAGGGTCCTCATTGTTGTCTAGGTTCTCTGGGATTGTGATTTGTGGGCTTTGTGTCTACAAGCCACTTATGAGTGAGTCCATGTGATAATGGTCTTTCTGGGTCTGGGTTACCTCACTTAATATGTTGTTTTCTAGATCCATCCATTTACCTGCAAATTTCAAGACATCGTTATTTTTTGCTGCTGATTTATATTATTTAAAACATATTTAACAGGACTAATTTTTGCCATTTTGTAACAGTTCACAGACGAATTTCTACTCCACTAATAATGTGCCAGTGCCGTAGTACAAGTGTGCTGGTTAAGCTTTAAAGATATTTGTTTTCTATTTCATGCGCATGCATGTGTGCTTGAGTGCATATACGTACATCACATGTACTCAAGGTACCTATGGAGGCCAGAACAGAGCACCAGATCTCTAGGAACTGATGTTATAGGCAGCTGTGAGCTGCTCATTGTGAACGCTGCAACCACAATCAGGTCCTCTTGAAGAGGACCGAGTGCTCTGAACCACTGAAAATTCTCTGTGGCCCCCAGTTTTATATTTCCTTTCAGGGACACTGACATTTGTCTAGTTAATTATTTTTTTCCCTTTAAGGTCTCTATTCACTTATTCTGCTGAGATAGCTTAAGTCTGTAAGTAAAAAAAAAAAAAGAAAGAAAGAAAAAGAAATATAAAGGAAATCATTCAGTCCAAATTGGAGGGGTGACACCCATAAGATGCTTCAGCTGAGTGGGGTGCTGATAGAATCAGGGTCTGTGTTTGAGGCAGTGGTTAATGGAGCTAACGTAGCCCTGTTTCTTCTAAGATTTGGCTTCACTGTTTATAAAGGGTTTGGGCTGGTCGGATCATTAACTCCTCTCCCTACTCCCCGAGATACCATGACTTTTAGGGTGAATGAACACTGTAAAAAGCACCTACAGCAGGAGACAGCAGGTGCTTCTAGAAGGACCTCCATCCCTCCAGTGGGATGAGGGCAGGGGAGACTGAAGCTCCTCCTCTCTAAGTGTCCCAGCTATCTGGACTAGGTTTTCCAACCCCAAAACCTTAAAATATGTTTTTTACTGTAATACTCATCAATAGTGATGAAAAAAGAGAATTCATTGGCAGTTTTAGATATTAATTTTTCACACTGAGAAAAATTGTATAAGAAGATTCTAGTTATCTATCAAAATGCTACAGGATCTATGGTTTAGAAAGATACCTGTGCTGTAATTTTAAGTAAATAACAGAGTTTCAAGATAATATGTACATAATGACCCTTTTTAGTATAATGTGTCTATTCATTACACACTCACACGCACACACAGAGACAGAGACAGAAGGTGTGTTTGGTCATGAGTCACAGAAACTTTAAGATACACAGATTTTTCTGGAGATTCTCTTAGGTGGTTGTGGGAACTTAAGCGTTTGTTTCCATTTTATGCTCTTTTTGTATAAAAATAAATTTTCATATAGAAAATTTAAAAGCTGTAAATCCCCACTAGTTATTTAAAGAAAGTGACTACATTTTTTTCTAAAGCTCCCAATAGAACAGCAAACTGCAGGTGAGAGCCAAGCAGAGAACCTGGAGATGCTGGGATCTGTTATACACCTTCTGTGGGGGGTTGAGAAAATTTCACAGTGAGAAAGAGAAGGTTAAGCTTTGTGTGCAAGATTTGCCTCCTAAATAACGAGCTTGGGATTTTGTCTCTGAAGGTTGCCTGGGTGGAAGGCTTTTGCATGTGTTTGGAGCAGGATTTTCTCCAGAGAAGATCTCCGCTGCCGTGTGTGGTGCTCCGTGCCAAGTCTTGGCTAATGCAACAGTGTCTGCCTTCAGCTGCCTGGTTCTGCCCCTGGATGGTAAGCAAAAAACCCACACTTAAACATTTATGTGAAGATCATAGTCTTTGGATTTTTCTGTTTCTGTTTTAGTACTGTACTGATGACAGCTGGAAATAGAATTTTCTCTTTTTTACCAAAAATGGTAGATGCCAGGGTCCGAGGAGATGACTTAGTGGGTAAATTGCTGGTCCTGTAAGAAGAGGGCTCATGTTTAGAACCTCTGCCTCCATGATAAAGCTGGCCATAGTGGTTGATGACTATGGCTCAGCAGTGGGCAGAGGTGCGAGACAGGTGGATCCTCAGAACTTGCTGGGTAGGCACTCTGACTGAGGTGAGCCCTAGGCTCAATTAACCTGCCCCCACCCAAATAAAGTGGAGAGAGAAGAAGACACCTGTAGCCTACTGCTGGCCTCCACACACAATTGTGTGCATACAGCTAGAAGAGTATACCATCCTATACACATGCACACACATTGACCCACACACATATACCACATTCATGCACAGAACACACAGGCACGAACAAAAGACTGCAAATGGCCTTCTCATTGGGCAGCTCCTGAATATTGGCGTCGTACTCAGCTCCTTGATTCTTTTAGGTAAGACTTGCCAGTCACATTGTTCTCTTCTCCCTCAATGCTGAGTTAAAGCCATGCTAGCGTGATGCTTTAAGAGATGGCCATCATGTAAATTGCATAATGTGAAGCCCTGTTTTTATGGAGGGAGGGAGGAGTGTGCCAAACTTAAGGCTTCACAACATGTGGTCCCTCCCTACGGTGCTTCAAGGGGAAGCTCCCCACAGGAAAAAGTGACTTTATTATCAAAGGGCCATGCTGCTTTTGAGAGAGCCTCAGTTACATCGGTTGAGTGTTCTGTTTGCATATTCCTTTGTGTTGAACCTTTGCACTCTGGAAATCACACTGTCCTTCAGCGTGGACAGATACGCTCTCTCTGTGTGTTGGTATAGTTTGTGTTCCCTTTCCCACATCCAAATCCCCCTGAAATTTGAATATGGTCTTAGATTTATAAAGTGGTGGGTGTGGAATTCCACCTGAATTTGGGCAATGGTTCTATGGGGTGTAAGTTTATCATGATGGTGAATTATACTGCATCTTAGGCAGGAAGAAAAGCAGAGGAGGAAGGGGAGAGGGAGGGAGAGAAGAGTGAAGAAGAGAATGTGAAGAAGATCCTAGTTTACCATTGCAGGAACAGTTTTCTGTTACCATCAGGTATATAAGCTGAGCGCGAGGAAGGGGAGTCCAACTCCACAGTAAGAAACCTAAGGTGCAAGAGCTGTTTTAACTTTATCTGATCTGCTGGGACTCTGATGCACAAAACAGTGTCCACCCAGAGTAGGTGAAAAATTTCTGTAATGTAAAATTAAATGAAAGAGTTAGGTAACAGTGGAAATGAAACAATGATTACTTTGTAGGCTTTAATTTTGGTGTAGAGTTTCATTTATTTTTATTTTCTGGCAGTGAGTGTTTTTCCTGTATGCATATATACATGTGTGCATGTATGTATGTGTGCATGTATGTCCTATGTGTGTTTGGTGATCTTGGAGGTTAGAAGAGGACATCATATCCCCAAACTGGAGTTACAGGCAGCTGTGAGCCATCACATAGATACAAGAAATCAAACCCAGGTCCTTTGCAAGAGCAGCGAATATTCTTAACAATTGAGCTCCCCAGCTCCTATGGTCTAACATTCAATTAACCTCTCACCAGGGTTTTTTTTTTCCCCAATCGAAACTAGATTCTCTCATACAGTACATCCCTACCACAGTTTACCCTTCTTCCACTTCTTCCCCATCTCCCTTACTCACCTTCTCTAGATCTACTCCCCCACCCCGTTTCCCTTCAGAAAAAAAGCAAGCCTCCAAGAGACATGACAGAAACAAGCCACGAAAGAAAACAAAAGCCCTTGTATCTAGGCTGGACAAGGCAATCCAACAGAAGGAGGAGCTCCCCAAAGCAGGCCTGAGAGCCGGAGATGCACCTACTCACATTGTTAGGCGTCTCACAAAACACCAAAATACACAATCAGTCATAACATAGCTGCAGATAACCTGGTGCAGACCCACGTAGGTTCCGTGTCTGCTGCTTTAGTCTGTGAGACCACGTGAGCTCTGCTTAGTTGATTCTATGATCCATGTTCTCTGGTGTCCTTGACCTCTCTGACTCCTACAATCTTTCTTCCCTCTCTTCCATGGTGTTCCCTGAGCTCTGGCTGTGGGTCTCTGCTTCTGTTCCTAACAATTGCTGGATGAAGTCTCTCTTTTGATGGCTGGGTTAGTCACCATTCTATGAGTATAGTAGAGTATCACTCGGAATCATTTCATTGACTTTTTTTTTTTTTTTTTTTTTTTTGCGAGTCGTGTTTGGTTCTATTCTAGTCTAGGTCTCTGGGCCATCCAGCCTCTGGTTCCTGGTCATCCAGGAAGTTTTAAGTGAGGGCTCCCTCTCCATTGTTATCTAGCCTTAATCCATGGTAGTCTGATAGGATGCAGGGTGTTACTTCAATTTTCTTACATCTGTTGAGACTTGCTTTGTGTTCAAGTATGTGGTCAGTTTTGGAGAAAGTTCTGTGAGGTGCTGAAAAGAAGGTATGTTCTTTTGTGTTTGGGTGAAATGCTCTGTAGGTATCTGTGAGGCCATTTGGTTTATACCATCTGTTAGTTCCGGTATTTCTCTGTTTAGCTTTGTCCAGATGACTTGTCCACTGGTGAGAGTGGGATACTGAGGTCTCCCACGATCACTGTGCGCCAGTCGATATGTAATTCAAGCTGTAGCGGTGTTTCTTTCAGAAACGTGGGTGCCCTTGTGTTTGGGCCACAGAAGCTAAGAATTGAAATGTCATTTTTGTGGATTTTTACCTGTGATGAGTATGTAGTGTCCTCCATCTCTTTTGATTAATTTTGGTTCGAAGTCTATTTTGTTAGATACTAAAATGACTACTACAACTTGTTTCTCAGTTCATTTGCATGGAATATTATCTCTTTTGAAAACCTTATGCTGAGGTAATAATGTCTATCCTTGATGTTGGGGTGTATTTCTTGTATGCAGCGGAAGGATAAATCCTGCTTTTATACCCACTCTGTTAGTCTCTGTCCTTTTATTGAGAAATTGAGTCCATTGATATTGAGAGTCAATGACCAATGATTGTTGATCCCTGGTATTTTGTTGCTGTTCGTGGTGCTAGTGTGTCTCTGTGTGTTTCCCTTCTTTTGGTTTGCTGATTGAGATTTGTGTGTGTGTATGTGTTTTCATGGGTGTATTTAACCTCCTTGGGTTGGAGTTTCCCTTCTAGCACCTTTCGTAGGGCTGGTTTTGTAGACAGATATTGTTTAAATTTGACTTTATCATGGATTATCTTATTTTATCCATCTATGGTGATTTAAAAAAACTGCTGGGTATAATGATCTGGCGGCTATGGTCTCTTAGATCTTCAGAACATCTGTCCAGACCCTTCTGACTTTTAGAGGTTTTTAGAGTATCCGTTGAGAAGTCGGGTGAATGCTGATAGGGCTGCCTTTATAGGTTACTTGGTCTTTTCCCCTTGCACCATTTAAACATTCTTTCTTTGTTCTGTATGTTTAGTGTTTTGATTATTATATGGTGAGGAGACTTTCTTTTCTGGTCCAACCTATTTCGTGTTCTGTATGCTTCACATATATTTGTACGCAAATCCTTCTTTAGGTTAGGAAATTTTTTCCATGATTTTGTTGAAAAAAAAATGGGACCTTTGAGCTGGGATTCTACTCCATTGACTATTCCTATTATTACTTGGTTTGATCTTTTTTTTGTGGGCCAGATTTCCTGGATATGTTGTTTCCTGAATTTTTAAATTTAACATTTTCTTTGTATCTGTTTCTTCTACCGTATCTTCAATGTCTGATATTCTTTCTTCCGTCTCTTGTATTGGTGAAGCTGGTCTCCGCAGTTCCTGTTCACATTCTTAAATTTTTCATTTCCAGAATTCCCTCAGTCTGTGTTTTCTCTTCTTTTATATTTGCTTTTTAAGATCTTGAACAATTTTATTCATTCTTTTCAAATATTTGTTTTTTTCTTGCCTTTCTTTAAGGGATTTATTCACTTTAAGCAGAATGTGATTGGCTGAGATTCCCCATCACTCTTATGGCTTGTTTATGTTTGCCTGGATTTCTTCGAAGGATTTCTTCATTTTCTTCAATTGTTTTTACCTTCCTGGGTGTCTTCAAGACATTGATTCCTTTCCTCTTTAAGAACCTCTACCATCTACTCATAGTTGGTTTTCAGGTCTTTTTCTTGTGCTTTGGCTATGTTGGAATACTCAGCGCTGCTGTGGTCTTCAGGCCGTTGCGGCCTGTGGTTGAGCAGGGGTTTCTGCCTGAGTTGGGGACTGGTACACAGTGGCAGGGGTGGGAGGGAGTGGGGTGTGAGGATCTCTGGGATCCACAGCAGGTGTGGTCGCTGGAGAAGACAGGCTGCAGCTGGTGTTGCAGCGCTAGGAGAGACCCTGAACATTTGGGTCTGGGGGGACAGAGAGAGTCTCTTCGGGTTTTTTATTTTTAAAACTTTTTTATACAGTTATGATGAGTTAGTAAACTTTGAAGCTCCTTGGTTATCTTAAAACGTTGAACTTTAACCAGAAGTACTGAGAAAAAAAATCAATGAAGTGATCAGGGTCAGGTATTTTGATATTATAAGATGGATAACTCACATTGGAAATATTAAGTTGCTGTATCATAAAGTATTTTATTAAGTTTTAGAAATTGAGAATCATTTGTATTTTGAAAGGAGCGATATGGTAATTAAAGGCTGCAAGTCTTATCATGGCCACTAGGTGTCACCAAACACTCATCAATTGCACAAACTCAAAATGCTTTTTTAGTTTTGTAAAAAATATATAATAACTTTAAAAAGACCCTTATTCTAATGGTCTGTGAACACCTACTCCAGAGTTCCTTACATTCAGGTGGAGGTGTGGGGAGTCTGGAACCTTCTGAAGCTGGCTAAAGCAAATGCTGTGTGTGTGTGATTGCATTTTCATTTCTTCCTGTGAAGGTGTGCCTGGAATAGACATAAAATGCCTATGGGGCTGATGCTTGCGAAGCTGTTATGGTTCACCTGGATTCTCTTGCTTTAAAGTATTGCGTAGAATCTGCATCTTTGGAAATCTCTTTCTTTCAGAGATGTCAGAGGAGCAGTCCTCACGCCTGTATCCAGGCTGCCATTCACAGAGAACCCATTTTTCTACATCACTGTGCCCCTGTTAACCAGCCAATGGCCTTTGGAAAGTTGCCCCATGCTTGTGTGCTAAGTCAGCGGAGTGTACCTGTGCCCTAGAGCGACTTTTGTAGCATCACCTGCGAATTTATTAGGCATGTAGATGCCCAGGATTCATGTTGTCTGAAACTTTATACAGAAACATTTTGATGTCCCTTCTTTGTTTTCCTACACTGTTGCCTATTAAAAGCTCCAAAATCAGGTAGCTTGTGGTATTAAGCAAGATTTAGACACACTGGGGAACATCACTGACATCTGCCTATTATTAACATCATAGTGCTTCCTGTTAAACACTGCTCCCTCCTCCACCTCTCTCCCTCTGTGTGTACACATGTGGTGAGCATGGGTGCCTATGGCATATGTGTATGACTTGTGTGACGCTATTTCTAAGGGAGTAGGAGAAAGATGAGCAAATGCCTCCTCACCCCAGATACGGAACCTCTAACAGTCCAGGTAAGGATACTATCCAAATCTAGTTTGGTGAACCAAATAGTTTCATTGGGGTTATTCCCAGTAGTGTGAGTGAGGGCTTACTTGCAGAAACAGAGTCTTCAGGGAGCTTGGCTGGTCTCTGCCTCTTCCAGGAGGCTCACCTTGTCTGAAAGTGTCTCTCAGCAGCCCTACTATTAATACATGCTCATGGAAAAAGGAACCCAGGAAACCTTGTCAGTTTCAGAGACTTCCTAAGTTTTTTAGTAGTTTATTTCCTGAGTTAATGAGCTTGCCTGGAAGATGAAATATTTTATCTCAGAGAAAATTTCTATACAACATTCACGTTTGTGTTCATGTATGCAAATCATGTGCCTGTGTGTGTGCATTGAGCACACAGGTATAGTATGTATGCATGCATTAGTGTGTGCATTAGCATGTTTAGGTACATGCACATGGCAAGCATGCTTCTGTGTTTCTAAACAGACTGTGTACAGCTACAGACTCTTTTCCTGCTTACATGGCTTCTTTCTCCTGAGGTCAACTGCCTCACGCTTTTCATTTGGTCTTCTGTTTGTTTATTTTTTTGTTAACTTCTCAAATTTAGCAAGGTCACTTTGAGTTCTGTCCATTGGTTTGAAATAGTTTCAGTTTGATTTTGAGTGATAGAGGGATGTTTCCTATCCCAGATTACAGATAAATGTCTTAGGATGCAAACTTTCCTAATTACAGTTTTCTTGTTCCAATGCCATGGTACTAATGTGTTTCCTTTTTAGAGAATGATGGGGAATTAAAGATAGAGATGAGAAAAGTTCCTTTGCTGCTTTGGGGGTCATCTGTCTTTACTGTCCCAAATAACACTTCTAGCCAATGAATATTTTCACATACGATGGGTGCTGAAACATCCAGTTAGGTGAATTTCATATTTCATTTTTGTTTAAAAATGCTCAGGATCTTTGATCTTCAGGTTTTTTTACATTTACTTGGATTATACCAAATGACTTTTTCATGGAAACTTTAACTTTTCCATGAGGCATGTAGAGCTAAAGCGATTAAGGGCACAGAGCTATTTAGTGGCAGAACTCTGAATAAGACCCATGGATTTTGATCCCCAGCCTTGGGTGCTTTTCATAATCCACCTTGTCAATTTGCATCCACTTAATCATCTATAATGAATTCATTATTTTATAGGTGTTGAGCCTGTTTTTATTTGCCTTGGGGCTTATGAACTAGAAAGTTCTCATGTTTTGTCTACCCACGCGAGAATCCTGCTGTCAGTCATTCTGATTGCAATTATCCATTCAAAACACACTCCCAGAGAATGGCCTAGGTGTCAGGTGCTTTGGAATGTAATAGCAACAATAACATTTGGTGTGGTGGCATAACTACAATTCCTGCTGTCCGTACTTTCCTCATGTGGTCCTTGCTGTCAGCGCTGTGAGGAGGCAGGCAAACATAGCTTCAATCCTGAGGATCTCAGCAATGTTTGTTGGGTACCTGCGCGGACAGGCTAGCTGCAGATATAGCAAGACAGAGAGGTTTTTCAGACAGTTCCCATGGAAACACCTCACCAGAAGACATTTATTCTTCCAATTAAAGGTTTCATTTTATGTTCTTTTTGTTCTAGAAGTAGAGTTTGACTGTGGAACTCTGGTCAGCCTGCAGCTAGCCCTCTGCATGGACCCAACTGGTCCCAGAGTCACAGACTGACTTGATGCCTTTCTTTGCTGAATGCTGGGATCATGCTTGCCTCGTTGCTGCTTCTACATCTCTTCCTTGTCCCAGAGAGAAAAGGGGCAAAACATTTACTTTTCTACCTTATGAAATATTAATGGTCCTTATAATATACAGAGAGTTCTGTAAGCAAGGAGTTTCATAAAGAGAGAGAGAAGTGTAGCCACAAGCTTGGAGGAGGTGATGATAACTTTTAGAGGACCCTAGAATTCCAGACCAACAGGAAAAAGATGAAGTTACGAAGTTGAAAAATAGTCACATGACAAGAACAGGAACTTCACAGGAGAGACTTGAATTATAATTAGAAGTAAAAATTTCTCAACCTAAAAAGTTATGATACAAATGTGAATTAAAGCTGCCATGTGACCCTGTGCTCTTCATCATAAGGAAAAGTTGGGGTCTGCCAACCTCAAGTGCCACCAACTGTGTGGAATCGTGAGAACACAATCTAGACAGTGGGAATACAGAAACTGCTTTGGAAGAGAAGATGGTAGTTTCTTTTCAAGTTGACCTTGGACCCATAAGCTTTTCTCTTTAGAGACACCTTAGAGAAAACTTTGTTCATATCTGCACTGGTTGACAATGCATCTCTCTTTTGTTTTTTTTTGAACAATGAATTGATCATTTCATTTTCCCAGGTCAAAGAAAGCCTCATTCCAGAAATGACATGAGATTTTGAGTTCTTTCCACAGGTTTAACTAAACTCGCGCTGACTTTTTCCAGTGTCCTTGGCTTCCCTGTGTGACCTGAGGCGTGCAGAAGACAGCTGTGAAGTCAGCGGCCACACCTACTTGCGCTGCGATTTGACCATCACCATGGGGACAAAGAGACTGCCTGGCTCCTGGCCTTACCTCTACTGCTGTGAAGAGAGTCCCCAGTGTCTCTTAGCACCAGATCACTGGGCGGAGCCAGCCTCCCCACCCTTCTCAGGCCTCTTCCTCAGGTAGCTCCATCTTTCATGTCCTCTTTGATTTTTCCACCACTTTTGGCCACTGGGATCCAGAGAGCCGACAGAAAGCACAGGCAGGGTGGATTTGGCCTACGGGCCTCCAACTCTTTCAGCGGGGCCATTCCATCATGGATTCCAGCCAACCTTCATATCAAAGCATCTCTGTCTTTTCCAAGTGCTCAGGAGAACATCTGAAAAATATACCCAGTAAACAGCTCACTTTGTTCTTGCTTAGATTTTAATATTTATCTTCCGATCCAGCACGACATCTGGTGCATGCCAATGGGGAGAAAGATTAGACGTTATGAAAAACAGAAGGCTTCCCCCTTCTCCTTTTTTCTTTTCTTTCCAAACAGATTCACAAGTATGAAAAAAAAATCTTAGAGAAATCTGGCAGATTGCATAATGTTTATTCAAAAGAAGGGGGGGTTATGCCCCAGAATTACTCTAGAACTGGAGTTTAGAGGCCACAAACTCCTAAGGACTTGGAGATTTTAAAAAGGAAAAAAAATATAACAAGTAGTAATACGACTTTCTAGATTCGACCACTTTCTAACCCAATTTTAGAAAACTGAACATGCTGGTAAGTTTGCTCAGTCTTAATTCCTGTCAGTAATTCAGTTCCATCACAGGCTGATATCTTACCACAAAATATCTCCTTGTGTCTTTATTGCTCATCTGGATAGAATGGTTAAAACTGACTTTTTAATGGAGACCGATTTCCTCATTAAGATATAAAACCAAACACGACCAGTTGCCTTCAGGGGCGGAAGTAACTAGTCCTTCCCATGGCTGTCTGACTTCGTGAGGTTCTGAGCTGTCTGTCTTGGTGGGAACTTTCCACCGGAGATTTGTAGTCAGTCAGAGGAAAAGAAGCTCTCCCTTGACTGCGGGCCCTCTTGAAAGACGGGAAGTGCTTCCGAAAGGGATTATGGGAAGTGAGGGCGTGGAGTCTGTAGTCAGGTGAAGCAGGGTCTCGGAACTCAGTGCCATGTCCACAGATCCTGCGCCACTGATTCAGAGGACTTTGCTTGCATATCCTAAATAGTGCTCTTGGATTCTTCCATGGTCTCCTCTTCAATGTCAGAGGTGGCTGAAGGAACTGTGTCTCAGACCCCCATTGCAACGTGTACCGTTTACCTGTAAGTATAGTTTCTATATACTGAGAATCTTGCTCAGTACTCTGGCTATTGCAGCATTCCAAAGTGTATGTGATTTATTGAACTAGAATTCAGAGCTCTATGACTTAAACACAATCTACATTTCATGCTTAGAGGACGGGGGGAAAAGCACATGACTCTTAGCGGCAAGTAGGAAAACAAGTGTGATCTTCAGACTTGTTAAATTATTAATAATTGTTAAATAATAATTGTTAATTATTAATAATGATTATTAATAATTGTTAAATTATTGATCAAAACCATAGAATTCCACGTACTCGGCACCCCAGAAATTTATTTTAGGAAAGCAGAGAACTTAATAGCTGAAACGAGTTTAATAATCCATGCAAAGGCCATGGCACTAAGAGACTCCAAAGTCTGCTGTAGAGTATTTGGTAGGAAATGCTTACAATGTCCTTGAAAATAAAACACACGGACCCCAAAGTGGTGCCTTACGTGACTCCCACTTCTGTGTGTATGTACCATTAGAGGCTTAGAAAAACGTCCCGAGTGTCTGCCTCTCAGTGGCTAGACTGTTGATAGTATTCATTTTCATTTAGTTTATATGTCTTTCTCTGTGCAACATATGCTGATTTAACACCTAGAAGACACACAATAAACTCTGCAAGGGACATTAAGGAAATCATGCAGCATATAACTGGTCCACTTCTTAAAAAGATTCTGGTTGAGAACATAGAGTACTATTTTCCAGGGTTTCTTTACAGAACCCTCTTCCAAGAGATGCTGTATCTCCTTGATGGAGCTCATATTGGGTCTTATGTCATTTGGCAAAGGTAGATGTATCTGTGACAAAACTGTGCCCTGTGCATCCATCCATCTTCCTACCTACTCCCGTACTCGACCACCACCTACCATTCATCTTTTAGTGAGTACTGCTGTGGTCTAGGTGTAGGTGTTGTGTCAGGTTAGAAATGCAATGATTCTAGGGTACAAATGTCAACAACCGTAAGTGGCAGGAAGACAGCAGACATAGTGGTCATATGCGATAAATGTTATAAACATATAAAGGGCTCAGACTCTTTAGGCATCCTGCCTAGAGGAGCATTTCTAAGAAGAGAAAGTACCACTGTGAAAACTCAGGCAGTGGAGGCAGCAAAGACAAAGTTACCATAGAGTTTTATGACCTGGTCAGAGGCCAGCTAAGCAGAAGCAGAGGGAGGAGAAAGGAACGTGACTCTAGGAAGAAAAGGAATGTTCTCCAGGGGTATGAGAAGGCCTTGAAGGACTCTAAACTCTCCATTAAGTGAAGATGAAGTCCCTGTCCAGGGTCTACAGTGAACCCCTGGCAGTATCGGGAGTGGTGGAGCCTGAGGCTCTTGGCTCACAGTGCACTTGGTATAAATGTCGTCTGTCAGCATCTGTGATGAAAGCCATGGTGGAGATGCCTGTGGGAAGAGCAGCCAGAGCTATGCAAAGCAAGTTCTGCTAAAGTGGAGAAAGAGAACTCCCAAAGGGGCTTTTGCTACTTACGCCAAAGAATGCAGGCCCTTATCACCTGTTCTCTTTCGCATCTGATGGCATCGACGGAAAGAGCAATAGATGGAGAGTCTAGAATTGTAGTTTCTAGAACTATTATTACCATGGCTTGGTTGAAACATTTTCACCACATTCTCTTAAGTATTTTTGAATATGCTTCATATCTATAGTTGTCTTAGTATCTATATATTTGTTGATATCTCGGTCTATTTTTATATTCCAATTTTTTTTTCAAATCTGATCTATTCTACCCATTCGTAAAAATTCATGTGAAAGAAAGCATGGAATAATAGTGTTTGCCAAACTTTGAAGTTTTTAAAATGGAAATCTAGTTTTGTTTTTGTTTCTTTAATACAGGGGCTCACTTTGTAACACTGGGTGACCGGTCTTATGATCTGCCTGCCCGGAAGGTCTATTTCAGATATAATGGCTTTGCTGCCACTTTTAGCAATGACTATTAAATGACAAGCATCTCTAGTGAAGTAATCAGAAATAAGTTAAAAAAAACAAAACAAAACAAAGCAAAACAAAACTCTAAGCCACCAGAAAGGGTGTTAACCTTCCAGAAGAGACGGACCTAAAGATAGAAGACAGCAACAGGCAAACTAAAGGGATGCCAGAGTGGCTTGAATCAGTTACTCAAAGTTCTGTCATAGAGGCCTATGAAGAGAAGGATGACATGTAAACACTTTCCCAATTAATGGTGGGAAAATGGAGGATTATGGGAGTTCAGACAACTCAGCTTGACATAATCCGTGGTAACACTGTAGGAATGGTTATTAATTAGATGGTTTATGAGCCCCCAGAAATAAAAGGAGCCGTCTGAAAGCCAACTCACAACTTCATTTCTTTCAGACAGGACTATATGTGATTTATGATGTATTCATGGCAGGGGTCCTTCACAAAATAGTCTAAGCATCTCCTCCAACCCAATAGCAGAAAAATAAATAGAAGGAAAGAAGGAGAAAACAGGTTGTACTTGCTCAGCCTCATGGAGGCTTGATGGGCCTTACAGTGCTCTGAAGGCAGGTATTTGTAAAATCCATTTTGCTTTTCTATATTTCACTTCCACATTTTCAAATATTACGTAGCATTAGTGTTCCCTATTCTATTTTTTAATAATTTTAAATTTGTTCTCCAGGAATTTTATAAGCATGTACAATGTATTTTGGTCATATCCACCCCAAACTCTCTCCAGTTCCCCATGGGACTTTAACACATGTCCATTCCAAACTTTTTTTTAAAATATGAGATGAAATGAAAGTTTATTTCAATAGCAGTACTTGTTGAAGAAACAATCTTACTCACTGTCTGCCAAAGATAACTGCAAGACAACCCCCCACACACATAATTACAAGGGTCACCCTCCCAAAACTGAAAAGAATGTATTTGTTCTTTGGAATATGGAAGTGGGCAAACCAGTGTGATGTCCCTTCAAACTTGATGGACTAAAAAGGAAATAAGATTTTCATCTCTGAATAGCCAAACATTTCCCATGCAGAAGTCTTAGTTATGCAGCCTGGAGTGGAGCCAAATTAGATTCTTGTCCTTTTTAAAATAAATAAACCGCTAAGCCCAGTTGGTGCTACCCATCCATGTATAGGTGTGGGGTTGTTCATGGAAACATAGACACCACTCTGGCAGCCACACTTTCCTCACTGAATCACTTCCAATAGCTGCTCAGCTAGGGGTGGGGCTCTAGGAGCCCCTCCCCTATCCCTGCTGGATTTTTGACGGGTTTTATCTTGTGCATATGGTTGCATTTCCAATGAGTTCTTATGTGCCATCTCTGGTTCTTACTGTCTGTCTACCCTGTGTTTTGGGATGTTCCCTGAACTTTGGGTGGAGGGAGGTTGTTATAAAGGATCCATTTATAGCTGAGTACCTAGACTCATTTATTCTCAGCACTTTGACTAGTTATGATCTCTAAACTAACTACGCACTACCCTCTGTGACCAATGTTGATAGCAACACAAATCAGCACAAAAATAAATGGGTAGAAGGTCGTTTGACCACTTGACCATTTTTTAAAATAGCTGTGTGTTCCCCACTAAGACCTATGATCTCCCACTGTGGGCTTTTTACCAGGTCTGTTTTTCGGTTGTTTTAGATCTGATGCTCCATTTCAGGAGCAAACATGTTATATTTACCCATTGATTCCATTTGCATTCTGTAGGGTGGTTTTACTAGTTAGATGATGGCATAGAAACATGGACTCAGATAAGTGAGGTGAAATATTTAGAGTTGAATGTGGATTACAACATCTTAACCATAATATGCCTAACATCACTGCTACCCAAACTAGAGCAAGCGTTACATTTATCGGGCACTTATTGTATACTAGGCTCTGTTCCAGTCATCCCATATACTTCCTTGTACTCAATTCTCTACCACCTCTACAAAGATAGGTGCTAGATTCTTAGTACGCATTTTATAAAAAGGAAAATAAAGTTTGGTGAGGGCTGTCTTCATTGTCATATAGAAGATAAGGATCTCCCCTGTCATTCCATTATATTAACCTGCTTTCACACCTTTGTGTGCTAAGGCTGCCCCAAGTCTCCACTGACTATATACAGCACAATGAAACCTCAAGTCATTGGAATGAAGAGACTTGGAGAGCCTTACATCTTCAAGTCAACATCAGGCATGCAAAAGAACAGTGGTAGGTGCCATGGGCAGTCGGTTTCTGATTAAAGGAGAACAGAACCCCCGCGATTAGCCTTAGGTTTGTGTTCACTCTGGGTGGGGTGATGTTAAAATACTGTTGACACTCCATAGGTCTAGGACACAGTCGTTGTGGAAGCTGTGTCTTTGCTAGGGAAATACAGTCATCATTTCTAGCAAATTGTCTGAGAAACCGTTTTGACGTTGATTTCAAGAAAGAAGTTAGAGTTTGACATGATTTATAGTCTCCCCGCCAGGGACCTTTGGCCTTCCTGCTGCTCCTTCTGCTCCTCCTGTGGGATCTGCCATCTTCCTGGCTGATGTTCAGTCAGCGCCTGCAAACCTGAGGGCCCAGCATGGGAAGCATAACACCCCAGTTCTGATCTTGACACCGAATAAATCTGTGGCTTGGCTTTATGCAAATCCCTCTGCTCTCTTTGGGTTACCTACTTCATACCTCTGCCTAATTTACAGACTGAAACCAGACCTTGCATGTAAAATCGCAGGGAAGTATGAGACATCATGCATTACGATTACTAATAATCTTTGAGTTAGTTGCAACAATGCCTAAAGCCAGGATTATTCTTGAATAAATATCACACCTGTTGGGGACGCTGCTTTCTAAGAGCACAGTTCTTCTAGACAGCATATTTTTAGACCCTCTCTAACTCCGTGCGGCTGATTTCCAATGGAACTCCAGTCTGCCTTCTCTTTTTTAAGGCAAAAGGACTGTGTAAAGTGAATGCCTGGGATATAACTGGTACATATATCGAATCTCCTTAGTCTGGGCTGTTAAGTAAGTTTAATTAATTTACTAAGTTAATGTTCGACTGCTAGCACCAGAGCCTCATTGCCATCAGCTGGGGAGAGGGAATTGAAAACCTAAATGAGCTCATTTTTTCACAGTTTGGAATTAGGGACCGGTTAGCCAGTTGTGAGGGTTTTCCAATTTCTCCATCTGCCCTGGAGGGATGCAGGCGATTCTCTCCCCCAACACTAAGTGTGAGTAAGATCAGGAAGAGGTACAGGGATAAGAAAAAAAAAAACCCCAAACAAAATAAAGAAACTCAGCTTAGGTTTTGCTTCCATTTCTCGACCTCAAAGAGCTCCCTGGGAGCTGCTTGCTAGGTGGGGTCTGGGGAGCCGATGCTCATGCGCCTAATTTGGAAAGGAAGAAAGGCCTCAGCGAAGGATATTTAACTGTGTGCATTCTCTCTGCTGGGTGAGCAGATAAAGGAAAAACAAATAAACAATAAAAGAATGGAAACAAAATTACAGAAATTTGCAAAATTTGACAAATGGTGGCCTCTAGTTGCCACAAGCTAATGGCTTGCAATGATTAATAAGAGTAAAAATAATTGCATTTCATTAAGATTGATGACACCCCATTTAACCTCCCCTCTTGTTTCAGCCCTAAAGTGGAAAGAGATGAAGTTCTCATCTATAATAGCTCCTGTAACATTACCATGGAAACTGAGGCAGAGATGGAGTGCGAGACGCCTAATCAGCCAATTATCGCCAAGATTACTGAAATACAGAAAAGCCGGGGCCAGAACACTCAGGTATAATCAAATCTTTTTTACAGACTGATTCAAACAGCTCAAATTAAATTTGTAATATTGTGTACATTAAAAAAAACAATTTAGTCCAAATGGCAGCGATATATAATATTAAATGCTCTCAGACTTTGAGGGGCTGATCCAATGCTTACCATCTGAATTTATAGTTAACTACGGTTAATCATATATTTTCTCCACAATAAATGAGCCCTGCCTGGCTTCCGTGAGGCCGAATTTTGAACAGATAACCTCTACATCATTTTGTCCTGATTTCTGCATGCATGTTAGAAAGGAGGTTCCTGTGCTTTATTTCTCGATAAAACAAATAGCCTACAATTTAACCAGGCCCTTCTGGGAGGCTTCCAAATCACTCAGCCATCTTCAGCTTGCAGAACAACAGTGTTGCCTGTCTATCTGGTTCAGTTCTATTCTATGGGGAAGGACTGTGAATGTCAGCCTCAGAGGAGATCCCTGGGAAGTTAGAAATAAGAAGGGCCAGAGGCCATTTGATCTGGCCTCTCAGTCTCAATGCATCCTATTTAAACCACCGAACCACTCTCTCTCCAAGTGGCTCTCCTGATTCTGTGCTCTGTAAGTCCCCAGTGAGAGATTCCACAGCCTCCCAAGGGAGTTTTTGAGAACTGAAATCAGAGGCTAAGAGTTCTTTGGAAATGTATCAGCTAATCTCTTACAGCTCCCCAGGCTTCTCTCTGTACGCAGACCAAAAATAATATTTATTGAGCACCTACTCCCTTAGGTGCCTTTCCTCTTATGAAAGCAGTCCTTAGGTCATCTTGTCTTTGTCTTTTTTATTTGGTACAAACATTTATTAAGAGCCTATTATATGTCACACGCTATTCTAGATCCTTTTGTGTATGCCGTTTGAGTCAACCCGTCCCAATCCCAATCTATACCTCTTTGGCTTGTGAGAAGAATTTCTGTGTAAGTTTCGTGTTTCTGCAGAAAATGTGTGTTGTTTTGAATAGTCTGTCTTCTGTCCTTCCGAAACTGGGTCCTTCCTATCCCCATCCCCAGGGGTCTCTGTGTTTATTTTCTCCTACCTCCACTCTTCCCATTCCTCCAAAGCCTCCTTTCAGGAGATTTCCCAAGGTCCTCACTTCCTGCTTCACTGGTCTCCCTGCAAATGCCTCTTCTTTCAGTCCACAGCTCACACTGACTTCTGGTTTCCAAAGTCACTGCCCTATAATTGAAAGTCCCACTTCAGTCTTTGCTTCCTACTCAGCTGTCCGATGCGACTGTAGGGGACACTGAGCATTGTTAAGCCTCTCTCAATCTCACTTTATAAATTATTTTTTTCTGACAGATTCCTATGTGTATATATGCCTTTAAGCTGTTTTTATGCCTTTTGACCTCTCTCATGTCCCTTCCCCACCTGATGAAAACTTTCCTCTTGCCAACAAGTCCCTCTCCTCTTTCATGCCCCCTCTCAGCGTGTGACTATTGAGTTTGATCTGCATTTTGTGCAGGAGCATGCACAGGATGTTGTGTAAACACTGAAGAAAATGATACCCTCTGCCCCAAACCATTAACTCTCAGAAGTCCTTTAGAGAGAAGTGCCTCATGAGATGTCCCTCACCTGCCTTGAAATGTTGAGGGGCTCAATCTTGTGCAAATAACCATAACTTCAATGAGTTCATGAATGCAACAGCCATGCCATGTTCAGAGATATCATTTTGTGATGCCTCCCTTTTCTCTGTCTCTTACGCACACACACACACACACACACACACACACACACACACACACACACGCCTTCTACAAAAGTCTATGAGCCTTGATATAGAGGTCTTGTTTAGTGATAAACACTACACTAACGTTTATTCTCAGGATCAGTTTTAAGCCTCTTCTTTTACTACCTTGGTGTCACTTTCAGTCTGAATGGGTAACAGTCTAGCATTCTTGGGTTGTCAACCTAAGCAAATTCTGGGTGGCAAAGGATCCAAGAGGAAGGTTATCACATTGGTTAAGTATCTGAGCTTTGAAGCTCTACTACCAGATTTGAATATACTACTCATCTCAAGGAAATTGTTTTAGCTATCTGTGCCTCAGTTTTCTTATCTATATAGTGGGGATAATAACAGTAGCCTCCTGATCAGGCTGTTGTGAGCTTAACTGCATGTAAGAAACTGCTTTAAGTACACAGGTAATGTCCAGTACTAGTCACGACAATATAAGAAAATGGCATCAAATGATTATTCACAATATTTGCTGCTTTGACCAGATAATTTTACCTATTAGATTTTGTCAATTTTTTAAACATTTTGGTTTCTAATTTTGAGATGTGAGGGATCTTTAGATGCCTAATTTATTTTAAAATTCTTGAGCAATGGATATGAATTGAGTTCTGATGTAGGATTTCCCTCTATATGCTGTGATTATAATTAATGAATAAATAAACTGATCTGGACCTATAGAAGGGCAGAACTTGGCTAGGTGGGAAAACTAAACTGAATGCTGGGAGAAGGAAGAGCAGAGTTAGGGAGAAGCCATGTAGTTCTCCTGGAGACAGACACCAGAACTTTAACCAGTAAGCCACAGACTGATGGCAATACAGAGATTAATGGAAATGGATTAAATTAATACATAAGAGTTAGTCAATAAGAAGCTAGAGCTCATGGGCCAAGCAGTATTTTATTATTTTGGGGCTGAGCAGTCAGGAAACAAACAAGTGGCCCTTCTCCAACAAATTGGCACCCATGTGACCAACTAAAATTCACTTAAAACCTGAGAGAGTTTGGGAAGAAATTCTAGACACAAAAGAATAGAGTTAAGCATGGCTTGGTAGTGGCATTTTCTTGGATGGGCTGTGTTTGCCAGAAGCAAGCGGAGGTATGGCTCCTTTAAGAGAGGTTTTCGTGATTCAGCTATAGCCATGCCATTTTGACATGCCAGATTTCTGGGCCGTGCTGCTGAAACAAACTCTGACACAGCCAGAACAAACTCTGATGAGGTCCGGCTATGGAACATTTAAATGGGTTTTGTGAGCAGAGTGCTACAACCTGCTTAATGGCATGATATAGACCCACTGTTTACCTGGAACTGGGACAATATGCATAGCTTACAGAGGCGGTTAATGGACTTCCATCATGTTGGACTTGGAAGAACAAGCAGAAAGTACTGTATTTGCTCTAGCAATAACGCAGCTTAGATTTTTAAGAAGCACTTAGCATTTTAAGAACTACTCCTGGACAGTAAAGAATTACAAATACACAATAGGACAGGTCCAGATAGAAAAGACTTTTAAATGGGTCACAGTGTTGAATAAATGTACATAGGCTTGTGGGGGAGAAGAAAAAGAGTACAGAGAGTTATAAAAAGAAGTACATGTTTTTTTAAAAAATAATAAGCCATGTAAAAATGGAATATACACAGAGTCTGGGTTATATATATTATTGATTTTTCTTTGAATTTTTTGACTGTGAAGGAGCTAAGTAACTAACATATATACTTTAAAGGTATCTTGTCTTCAAAATTTGGGTCTAAGGATATGTTGCTTTGGAAAAGAGGTTCTTCTTTGTTTCCACAGAGGATGAGAGCCTGTGGATTGCTTCCAAACTAATGTGGTTTGACGGACCAATACCCCCTGAAAGGTCACCATGAATACCCACAAAAACTACTTTACCCAACAAAAAGTAGGAAGCAGTTTGGAGAGAACTATGCCCAAATATCCAAAATGATTGTTTGTAAATGTTTGTTTACGTTTAAAGAGGGATATGTTATAGAGATTTACTTTGGTATAGATCTTGGTTTGTTGATAGAAATTTTAGGTCAATTTTGTTATATACATATATTTCTGCTCTTGCTTAAGGTATTGTGATTGTGCAGCTCTTTAAAAATGTATTGTATAATTAAGAAGTATAGGTTAATAGATAATCATCTATAATAGTCAAGTTTGTAGTCATGTTAGTTAGGTTTTCTAGATATATAGAGATATATTTCAGTTAGGCATTCTTCAAATCTTTCAGAGATCTTCAGAATATGGGATTTAAAATGTTTTAAGAACTTAGGACTTTTCATGACAATGAGATACATCTGCTCCTGGCAGCACCAATTACTTCAAGAGGAAGATGGGCACTGAAGAGGCTCCTTATGGAGTTGGTTAGCCATTTGCGCAAGAAACTGCTATTGCCTGGACTGCTTGATGAACTGGACATGAAGGACCAGCAGAGAAATGACTGTTGAACTTGCCTAAAAGTGAGAAAGGGCCTTCAGGGTTCCTGCTTCATGAAAGAGTATGCCAGAAACATTCAGGACACAGAAAAAAAGTGACTGGCTGGCTGCCAATATAGGTGTAACTTTCTTTGAAATAGGTGTCGTGCTTTGTGGAAAGTCTGCTGGATATTATGGGCCTGTAGACTGAAGATGGGTGCCCCGATGGTAGAGAAGAACTTTGGGTGACTGTCCAGGCAGTGAGATGTTTCTGTCATTTCTAGAGTTTTGGAAGTTGCTTACAATGCACTTCTTGTTTTCTTAGGTAATATTATATCCTTCTGGAGTCTTTGATGGAGTTGAAGAATAGATAGTATTCATTAATACATAGTTTATATATTCATATATATAAATAATGATGATATTTATATTATATAATTATATTACATATAATATAATATTATATATAATTATATATAATTTTCATTAGTTATCATAAAAGATAAAGTAGATATAGATATTGTAACTCTAATTCTTGCTTGACACCTCTTTTGTTATATGTAATTTTACTATGTTAAAATTAAAACCTTTTTTATTTAAACAGAAAATGGGAGGTGGTATGGGATTCCCCTTTGTATGCTGTGATTACCACTAGTGAATAAAGAAACTACTTTGGACCTATAACAGGGCAGAACATAGCTAGGTGGGGAAAGCTAAACTGAATGCTGGGAGAAGGAAGAGTAGAGTCAGGGAGAAGCCATGTAGTCCTGCTGGAGAGAGGTGCCAGAACTTTAGCAGGTAAGTTACAGCCTCGTGGCACTACACAGATTAAT